ATCATAGGAAATTCAGAGCAAAGAAAAAAGCCATTTAAAATTTTTATGATACTGTGAGGATATCAACATCCAGCAAGGGAAGGTCATTTTTTGGGTTTTCTCAGTGCAAAGGAGGTTTTCTGTTGTAATGTATAAGAGAAATTACATCTATCAGCCTAAGAAGATGGCATTTAATAAGCCTTTTTTTTTCTTCTTGTAGGGGAGGTCGTTGGAGGATTGCCTTCAAGCATCACATGAATAACAGCTGCCTTTCCTTCACAAGAAAAGTCTGTCTTTTATGTGGCTAAAACAGCACCCTAGATATCTGTCTGTGTGTTCTTGTGAATCTGTATTCCACTATATTTTAGTAATGTTCTTGAAGTTTTTAAATTTAACTCTTACTCTTTTTGTAATCATCACCACTTTTACTACACTATGCTAACTATACAAATATTACTTGAGAAGTTTACATTTTAGAAATGAAAAATATGTGAAGTTTTAATAAAATGACTTCCTCTGACCTTGATAAACTGTAACACCACAATAATAGCAAAAAGTACTAATGGGGATCTTTTTTCAAAATAAAACAACCTAAAAGTGAATAGTGTAAAGCTAAATGCTGTTAGAACTGAAGTAATGTCCTCAGGGGACATTTTGCTTCCATTAGCAAAACCTGGAACCAACTTTAGTTTTTTTTCAAGTGCATTTCAGTGCATAAATGACATATTTTAGTAACTGCTGTAGCAGAGGACTGATTCCTAAAGCATATTTCTTGCAATACTTCTAATCTGTAAGCCTTCTTCTACTTTGTAACAGTACTGCTGTAGTGGATTTTTTGTCATTTTCTTGACATGTTTAAAATGTGACCAAACAGACACTAAGAATATGTAAACACCCAAAGATAATTGCATGCATTGTTGTCACGGTTTGCAATACACAGAATTTACTAAAATGTGCTTGGTCATTTGCCTTCACTTTTCTGACAGAGCACTTTTACAAGAACAACTTTTTACTAGTTTTTTAATTGTGTGTGCTTCCTATTGTATTAACCTTTTAGAAGTTTGGAAATAAAATTCCTATTCCTCTTGGCTTTGAACTCATTGTCTAATTGTAACAAAGAACAGCTACTGTAAAGAAGAGGATACATGGACTTTGCAGTGGGAGTGAAGGCCTCAAGCTCCTTGCTCTTTTGGGAAGTGATAATTGCTGTTGGATTTTTAGAAACTGTATCTTATTGGTAGAAAAATCCTATTCGTATCTGTTGACCACAGTTGTAAATACTAACAGTGTTATGAGTCTCACACATTTTGAAGCTGTAAGGAAGAACTCTGAAGTCTGAATACTTAATGTTCATGTATGTTAACTGAAATGGGGCAACAGTGTCCTCCAGGCAGTTCAGTCTTTGTTCAAATATTTTCATGTTGCTGTCCCACAGAAAGATACCAACATGAGAGCTGTAATACTGCCAGTATGTATTGTGCCTTTAAATACCGAAGAAAACATTCTTCCTTCACAGCTTTTCTTCACTCTGACTTCCTTTCACTGTAGGCTATTTAAGTATGGCAGTTTTCTGTTAGTACTGGACACAGGTACAGAAGTCTAGAGAAAACCAAGTTACTATTGCACAGAGGCCATCAGAGGCTTGGTCTGAGGCCAAAATGTCAAAGATACTGGTAAGTGAATACATCAAAAGCCTTTGGACAGCCAGCATTTAGCTGCTGCCTACATCCTCCCAGGCAAGCCCTTCACATTTTCCCTCTTTCGATAAAACCTCCCCTCATCCCCACACTCCACACCTGCTTCTCTCCTCAGAACCCCTGCTGCATACATTCAGGCTCAGCAATGTCACTTGGAGCTTGGGTTTTGAAGTGGCTGCTGAGCTGGCACAAGGAGTGGCCAAATCACAGTGTGCAGAAGAGAGCCACCACGGCTAGACAGCCAGTCAACCACTGCCATGTCCTGGCTGCCCTGCCCAACTCCATCTGGTCTGTTGCAGCTGGAGCACCATGTCAACACAGCTGGAGTAGCACTGTAAGCACGTTGCAGGACTTGGCTACATCAGCACCTTGCACCAGCAAGGACTAGGAAGATCTGTGCAGCAGTTGTGAGATGGATTGGGAACACTCCACTCAGATGTCCCTCTGAGCATGGTGTTTTATTCTCAGACATGGATTCCAGCCTCTTCAGAGGAGTTTGGTTGCAGAACCTCTTTGCTCTCAGGGCAGTGTGTATCCAAGCTGCTGGGTGGAAGCAGGGAGAGGAGTGATGCCAATGCTATGTCCACCCTCCCAGGGGATGTTCTATGGGAGAAGTCAAGTATCAGAACAAGCTCCAAACAGGATTGGTTGGCACTTAGGCTCTTTGGTTCCTTTTGGCAATCAGTTTGGTGAAGTGTGCCACTACTGGTTATTTTGTGCTGGCGGGTGAAGTGGCTGCATCTCAGCATCTCGGCTTGGCAGGTCCCCTTTCCTTGGCATAACCAAAGAACCTGACAAACAAGCTGGGGCAGCTGACTGCTTCTGTAGGCAGGAGAACATGTCCCTTACCTACCCAGTCTACAGGGCAATGTCCTTTACAGCTGTACCTGGGTTTGCACAACTGCTGAACTGAACCCAGCAAGGGCTTAGACCAGGGCAAGCATCACATTTTGCCACTTCTGCTCCAGCAGGTGTGATCTGCAGTGAGGTGGGCAACTGTGTGCAGCATCTTAGCTTCCTCTACCAAAGACTATTCAAGAGAGCTATCTGGTGCACAGAAGCCTGCAATACCATCTGATGGCAGCAGGTCCTACAGGACGCCTAGGGTAAAGAAGATGGAGTGAGTATGCACATTTGTATCCTCAGTGCCTCACATGAGCCACAAGCCCCCTTTTCTCAGTCATCTCTCCCACAGCTGATCAGCACGGCTCTTCTCTATCTACAGCTGACTCCTGCCTGTAGTCATTCCTACAGGTGACTCCTGCCTGGTCACTTAAATGTTTATAAACTGGTTCCAGGAATGGAGTGTCCCTAACTGCTTATGTAAGACTGGAGATTAGATTTTTGTACTGTGCCTTTTTGTCTAAGAACTAATTGCTTCCTAATTCATAGGTATTAATGAATTAGGTAATTTGGCAGGGTGGGGGTGGGGTAGAGGGGAGGGGGGAGTGGGGAAGAGCATCATTGTAGTTCAGCAGTAATTTTACTCCACATTAAACAGACAAAAGGAGGGGGAAGAATGCAGTATTTTATAAATTTATCAATGTGTCCATATCTATGAGAGACTGATACTTGTCATAAACACATACAGTAAAAACCAACAGTCATTGCAAGCTCTTTCCCTTATTTTCCACTACATTACCAGTAATTTAACTGTACACTGACATTTTTTCTACGTAATGGAAACTTAGCACTTGAATTTTTTGTTTAATGTACATAACATGCCTTTGTTTTCAAAGTTATCTATAGATTATCTATGCTATGCTTTCACAACTGTTCATGGGGAAGTTCTGGTGTTAGTTAGCCTTTGCCTGTGGAAGAGGAGAACATAAACACATAGTTTGGCACTGGTAGCTATAGTTTTCTCAAACTGTGGTCGCTTGTGACTGAGACTTTGTAGAGCTGTACTTTACAGATTCCTGTTTTTTTGGGAGGTACAAAAAATAACCCATAATGCAAAAGAAGTAAAATGGTTAGGTCTGGTGACCACAAAAATAGGCCATAGATAGTAAGAAAATTGCAACTTCTACTGCAGTCTTTCTCTTGTTCTAGGAAACAGTGGCTTGTTGCAATTTTACTAGAAATCTTTTTATGTTACCACTTGTGAAAGGTATTTTCTCAAATCTTGCAAACAATCAGTGTACAAATAATTCAGGGATATTACTGTGAACAAAAATTTCAGTTTGAACAGTCATAGCTTTTAAGAATTCAGAAAAAAAACAGCTCTGTTTTCTCAGAGAGACCAAATCTTTATTCCCTAAGTGCTGGTTTCATTTACTCAAGTAGTGACTATGTGCTTAATGCGGGCTTTATATCAAGTAAGTATTTAAGTGCAAGCATAAACCTTAAACTTGGTAGTTTTCCTTTTATTACTTCCCTGTCCTCCCACCCTTCTGTTACTGCATCAAACTTAAGAAGATTAGTGAGTTTGAAATCTGAATCATCTCAACTGAAAGCCACTGAACAGAGAAAGACATTCTGGAGCTGGCTGGCATGCTGATGCAAACTGTTTATGCATTCCTGTGGCAGCATGGAGTTACTGTCTACCATTGCTCCCACATATTTTCAGTTTTGTTGCCAGATCTTTTGATGGAAATTGAGGGTTTGGGTACTATTTGATCCTGTTCTTTAGATTACAAGTGAGATAGATTTTTTTTTTTTTTAATTCAATCTTTCACCCCTTCAAGATGTACCCTATAATATCTGGATCTACCTCCCAGATAACTTTCATCCCCCAACTTGCCAATGCCCTGCAGAAGGGTGAAAAATACGGATGCCAACAAATGGCCTCCAGCAGGTTTTGCAAATGGTGAGGGTCACAGCTTAGTCCCCTGAATCAATCTTTGAGAATGCTAAATTTCAACACAGTCTTAGCATGTTGTCCATAAAACAAAGAGCTTTTTCCTAGACTGATTATGATTAGAAGGAGCTCAGGAACCTATTATTCCTGAAGGAGCTGTCAGAAGAAGAGAAGTGGAATGGAGCTCAAGGGACAGTTACAAAAAAATCACAGCTGTAACTGTAAGAACTCTCTAAGACTTTGAGAAGCCTTGAGATTCTGACAGATCTAGCCCATCTTTACATTGGAAAAACAGCAGGCTCAGGGAGCAAACAGAGGTGCTTTGAAAACCCAGGGTGAGCCTCGGCATCTGTTTCTTTTTCCATTCTTTTTTTTTTTTTAATATAAAGAGTGATAAAGTACCTGTATATCACCCATGACAACAGAGAAGCCGTAATTACCTAGCTTCAAGAAACTAGTTTGTTTAGCAACATTTCAAAAATATACAGAAGAATCCTGAGCTAGTAAGAATTTCCAAATCCTAATTACTTTCTAAAAACTAACAACAATAATTTATTAATTTCCCTTAAAAGAGTTCAAGAATGAAAAAAGAAAAATGTTTGTAATATGCAAATCCTCATTCTGTTCAAAAGAATTTAAGACGTGTTTGTCCATCTCTTCTTCCAGGGATTCTTTCATATATCAGTCTTCTTTTTTTGAACTCCTGTACTTCTGGAAATCCTGAATCTGAAAAAGTAGTGGAAAAAAGAAAAATCATTATAAACTATAAATACAACATGTATCCAGACTTAACTGTGTGCTTCTCAGAAGCAGTAGCAGACTTTGGCTTTAACTGATTTGTACCCACTAATAAAAGCAACAGCTGTCATAAAATAAAACATTTATGATTAATATTTGCTACTTCTTACTGCTACTGGCCTGTTTTATGCATATTGCCCTGCAATGGGAATATGTGACCTTATATTTAAAAAAATATTTAATGTTTATTTCTATTTCATTAATGCTACAATTAGAATTATTCTATAATTGTTGAAATGTAGTTATTTTTAACTAGATATAGTCATGTTTCTAAGATGTTTTAAAAAGCTACTTACATTCTTAAGATTCAAATGGTTTTACAATAATGTATCTGAGAAGTTGCTTATTCAAAACAAGTTACTGTAAGGAAATTATATTTAGCCTTTACAAAAAGTATTGTCAGAAAACGTTAAAACTGACCTTAGGATTTGATCTGGTCCAGTGGAAATACTGGTTTGGCCTGGTGTCATGAATTATCTGTGGTTTAATGAGAGCTTTATCTGACACCTGAAGAAATCCTTGGGGTTTGTTCCCAGTGTGTCCTTCTAACTTGGCTCTCTACATCTTTCTTAAACTTTTGCTCTCAGAGGCTTTTATTTTATTAAGGTGAAGTTACAGGTTTTTTTGACTGTTTGGTTGGGGTCTTTTTGTTTGATTGACTTTTAAATTTTTTTTGGGGTGGTTGGGTTTGCATTAGCATGCAAAGCTATTTAGTATACTTATTTTTCCCCTGGTTAGTGTGAACTATAAAGTAGAATAAGTCTGTTTTTCCAAAATCTAAACCAAAAATCACTTTTCCATGTTTTGATTTGATTGACATTCAAGTATACTTTTGTCCTACTGGGCAAGAATAATACAGAAAGCTTATCAGTTGGAGATGTATTTTCAGAACACTGTAAAATGTGGTACCAGGTGCCCTGATCTCTACTGAAATATATTGTAGAATTTTATGCTATCAGTGCCAGTTACAGGTTACTGGAATATTTGTTACCTACTCAGCAATACTGCAGCTCTCAATTTTAATTCCAGAGAAGCAAAAGGTCTGTTCAGAGTTTCTGTATGAACATTTAAATTTACACAGGCTGAAAATTAAAAGAACTTTACTATATAAAATTAACTTTTTCTCTCTTCACCTTCATAATTACCCTAAGCAGTCAATGAAAGAGTGATTTAAGTTAGTTACTTAGGTTTTCATAAATGAGTCTGATCTGATTAGTGAAAGCATTTTAATGCTGTGCTGATCTTGTACCACCAAGAGATTTAATGACAGCCAGTAACAGAGAAATCATAAATCAAGTCATCTGTACTAGTGTTAGGCACTTTTTTTAAACAAACTTAAACTTGGATTTTTAAAAAGAAATGTAGCATCTTACTTGCAGGGAAATAGAAGAATTAAAAAAAAATACTACAATAAATGATCCAGCAATACGTAGTCTGACAGGGACTGTCTTAGTTGCAAGACTCCATGGATACATATTATGACTTATTAATAAAGGTTTCAAGCTTACTATATTTGATGGAGTAAACCAGGATGAGAAAAGTACACAAAAAGAGAAGCCTAATAATTTGTATAAGGACTGAACACACTTTCAGGGTAAAGTTTTGAAATACATATCATACCATCTCTTTGAAAATATAAGCTTTGAAATGATTTCAAATGGAGAGTTTACCCCTGGAGATACTAGCTAAAAATATTCTAATGATAAAGAAGTTTATGAAACAAAAGATTTTCAGTGCGCCATTTTTACTCCATTAGTGCCAACAGAAAAACACAGCCATTAGTAGAATCTGAAATTCACCTCAGGCCTTGCTGAATCACCTTTTTGTCCTATGGAGAAAATAAAATCTTTTGTCTAAATCTATGTTTACAAAATAATATTCCCCATAACTTTAAAATTAATTCTGACATGTTAATGATGTATATTTTTGGCACTGTCAGAGAGAAAAGAAGGTGAATCTTATACTATTCAAGAACTACGCTTTTCAATATTTACCATAGAAAAATAATGGCAGTGACACAATTGTAGTTCATTTGGTTTTGCCTTTTTTTTTTTTCTTTAAATACCCCAAGACAACTTTATGCTCAAAACAACTTATCAGGAACCTTTTATCACAGAAGAGATACATATGCAAGTTAAGTTTTAGCAAAGGGAGCATGCAATTGTTGGGTTTAATTTCATTTAACAGCTATTTAAATAAAATATAAAATACAGCCTTACAGATACTCCTTACAGCTTTGAAGTTAAATAACAAAAGGAACTTCAGCAAAATTGTCATCTTACTTTGGACCTACCTGTTTTAATTTTTTGTTTTGTCTGTAAGAATGGAGGCCTTTGTTTTCTCTTTCCTTTAGATGTTTCACCTATTTGGTTGAAATTCAGATTTTGAAGCTCATCCGTATCATTAAAGAAATTAGAGAGAAAACCATCATGAGTAAATGAATTACGTGGGCCTGTGGATGAAGAATCATTCCACAGGGGCTGGTCAATCTGAATTTCTGGGCTTTTAAATGTTGTGTCTCTAAATTCATCTAGAAAACTCTTAGAGCTCTCTTGAGGTTCACAATCACTGAAAGTTGCAAAGAAATCCTCCTTTTCAGAGTCTTTGGAAGAATGATCAGAGCTATCATGCATTCTGAAAGGCTGTCTTTGAACATGGAGAGAATTTTTAACTTCTAGATGAGCAAAATCTTCATAGTCCTTTGATACAGCAAAGAAATCCACCTTTCTCCTTGTAACTACTTCTGATGAGCATGCGTTCTTTTGCATACAGCTTGGAAGATCAGACTTTAAAAACCCCTTACGATGATTCAGTGGAGGAATTAGGGCTTCAGAATTCATATGAGATGTTCCTGGTAGAGAAAAAAATTGAAAGAATAACTGACCTTAGGATGATTAGAAGATAAAGATTCTAATACATTCAGATTTTTCACTTGGTTTCAAAGGAGACACATTTTCCTAGAAATTCAAGGTATTACCTGTGCTGTTTTGCACCTTATCAAGCAGCTCTAAAATCTGACAATGTTGTTTATTATCAGGATACAATGTGTTGAAGTTATTCTGGTTTTCTGGGTGTGATGCACCTTTCACTGTTTTTTCTAGAGCAGCAGTATTTAGGCTGTATGAAGATATGTCACTGAAATGCTGAAATTATGAAAAAAGTATTTGTCAGGAATGGTGATGGTACATCATTACTTGGTCTACACTGCCAAGTACAAAAAGTTAAATCAGTTGCTAAGATTCTAAGATGTATAAATTTTTGTTTACTGGAACCAAAAAAAAGACTTATGAAAGCTGGAGAGGCGTGTAGAGCACACAATGTACCTGTCTTACATCTACAAACAGATTAAGTAATAGTCTCGGTCTTAATACACAGGAGAAGCAATATCTTAGTAATACAATTTATTCTCCTTCATTACTCCAAGACTGTAGGAAGCAGTTCTGCAATGGATTGGCACCGATCATGCATCACAGAGGAATTTAACTAAGCTTCTTCTGTCAATAAAGATGGCTTTGCACATACACAGTTAAAACAATATTGTGCACAATTTCACATTCAGTGCCTGGATAGCTGTTCACTTGTTCCTTCATCTTAATGGAATGCTTCATTTTAAATGAATGGTGTCCTCAGCCATTTCCTTGAATGATAAAATAGGTGCATTTTTTATTGAATTAGATGCCTATATTCAGTCTATAGTTTTCCTGATTTGACCCAACAGTAGGAACAATACGAGCACACAATTCTTCATCTCTAGGGCTCTGTAAAACACTAAGTGCTACGAATGCTAAGTGGTGCATTTATTATATGGAGAGAGGGAGGCAGGAAGGAAGGAAGGGAGGGACTGAAGTCCTGGAAATACTTAATTGGAAAACATTTTTATGTTAGAAATACACAAAACCTTGCATGTGGATACAATATTTAATATTGTGAAGCTCGAGGAGGAAGCTATCTAATGAGTATTTTTCCAGTTAAGGAAATGCTGTCATTATCTTCTCCCAGACTTGACAAAATCTGCTGAGAATCAGCAGGCTCAACTTTTGGGATATGAGTGATATTCTAAAACCTGTAATTAATTTTTAAATGACACCAGCAAATGCACATGTAGTATCAGATTAAAAAATGCTCAACAAAACAACCACATATTACAACAGAGAAAAAAAATTAATATAATACATAAAATAATATTGGCCAACCTTTAAAACTTTTTTTGGAACCTGTGGCAGAAGTTCCTGGAGTTGATCAAAGCTTGCAAGAAATAACCTGTTCAGTGAAGATCCCTTCTTTAACATAAACTGAGCAACCAAAGGATTGATACATGGAAAAGTAAGCAGGCATTTCTCTGGCTGAAAATAGAAATTATTTTGTTAGACTGAAATCTGACAAACTTTTTATCCTTTTTTTCCTGTTCTACAAAGTCACATCTTATTGATTAAGTCCTACAATATATCATACAAAGAAAGCTTTCAAACAGTGCACTTTTATAGTCCAATAAAAACAAAGTTTTTTTACTACAGTTGCAACATAGTACCATTTCTGATAAAGAGTAAGTTCTGCATAACCATTTGACAAAAAACAAGTCTAAAGATGTTTATTTTCTAAAGGTTAAAATCAGTGTATAACTTAAACTTGATTTTAAAATGCATGACCAGATTTATTATTATTTCTCCATTTTAAAGTGGATTACCTAGATCAACATAAACTGACAAAACTGGTTCTGTTTTGCAAAAGCTGCATTTGCTAACGGCAATGAAACAGGTGGAAAAAGCAGGAGTTGTCAGGGGGAGGATGAATATCACAAACAGGGCAGCAAGTTGAGAGTAGCTTGTTAATCAGTGTCAGCTTTGTGTTCCTGACTTTCATAAAACACTGAAAAATGGCTCCTCTCCATTTTTTACTAGTATACTTAATCTCTAAATTGGAAAACCTATAATCCAGTACTCACCTCTTGAAAGGCCATGCCAATACCTGCTCTATAATGCCTCTGAATTTTACAAAAGCCAAAAACAATCTCAGCTTTACAAGAGTTTCAAAGCTGTCACATAAAGTGAACAAATCCGTATGTTTCATTTGAGAACCTTACTATACAAGTTTAAGTATATCATATATTTGATGGTGATTGATTCCAGCATTTACTGGAATATGAGTTAAGCAAGTAACTGCATGAGTTAAGCAAGTTTTTACCATCTATTACTAAAGCAAGCTGGCAAGAAATGCCATTTACCTAAGTAAGGCATCAACACTGCTGAATTTGGCTTCCTGCCCAAGTGAGCCACTGTATGTTTTTCTTCTACAATTTGGGTAGTTTTTTAAACCTAGTGCCTAGAACTGTAGAACAGCACAAATTGGCAAGCAGATGTAGTGGATTAATCTCCTTACAGGTTAGTTGTGAAAGCACAGGGTAAGTCCAAGTTGCACCTAATTGTGCTGACAAAGATGATGAAAATACTATATATATGTATATATATACATGTCTTTGCATATACACTAGAAATGTGCTTGTATATATATCTGCATATACATATACATACACATATATAATAATGCTTATTTTAATAATATATTTTAAGAGAACTACAACAAAAAAGCCTAAAATTGTATAAATCTTAGAAACAGGAAGAAAACTGTAAATTCACGGGAAGAGAAGCAAACCTCAGATGGCAAGACAGAAAGCCAGGATTTGTCCAGCCACTCATGAGGACTGATATTAGAGGCCATCAAAATGTTGTCAGCAATCTGACGAATTACCAGCGCTGTCTCTTCAATCCCTGGTGTAAGAACTACCTAAAAGTGATACATAATATTCTTGGTTAAAATTTACTCTAAGGAGTGTCTTAATTTGCTACAGACATTGAGGTGAAAACTAAAGGTCACCCCGAACACAAGAGTCGATACTGCTAAACCTGATCCATGCTTATCATGCCAAAGAACTCCAACCTCTGTCCAGGCTGCAAATCACACTCCTTATTTATGTAAATCCTGTGTAGGTGAAATTAATTGATTTATCCTATAGGTCTTTTATATGTGATCAAGTTTCTGGGTATGAGTTATTAATAAAACAGGCAATTGTGAGATGCCTATTACAGCTTAAGAAGATGTGTAACACTCTGAAGCTGTAATTTCTATACAAACTACAGTGGTGAGTACATGAAATGAAAAAAGCTCTGTCTTCTCTTCATCCTCATAACTTTCATTTAATTAGGTAAATTTTATACAAATTTTAATATGCAAATAATGATGACTTCATAAAGATCTGCACTCAACATTGGCTGCAAATATGTGAAAAAAGTGTCTAAAAAGATGTCAATTAGTTAAAAATGTAAGTTACCAACAGTTTAGTAAACTGAATGAAACTTCTGTCCTATTTTTTAATGCTGATTATTATAGATACTAAAACAGATTTTCTAGATTCTAGATTTCCTGATTTTTATAGAAGGAAGTTATTTTGTCTCATTAAAAATACAAACTAGCTGACAGCAGATTATTTCTTTTTTTCTTTTGTCACATCAGCAACATAATCTTGATCTGACACTTCAAATTAAGACACAGCAAGATTAATATGTATTCCAATAATTTGTTAAAGGTACGATCCCATTTTTTGACTTCTAGTTATAAAAAGACTTCAACTGAAATTTGAATCTGATTCAACTTGTATTGCAGTCAACACAATGACTTTCACAATTTTCACTGACTTTAGCAGCACTGAATTAAGATCCTCTCTTATTTTAGTAATTTTGAGCTATTTTATGTTTTTGATGTAGAAGGTATACTTGACCAAGCTTTTTAGAAATATCATATAATGAAGATTAATACAGAAAGAATTACCTTCACATCGAAGTCTTCTGACTTCTGTGTAAGTTCAATTAGAGTGGCATAAATTAAGACAAGGTTAAGCAGAGTATTTCCCTTGAGACTGTACCTGTAAAACATTTTCACTGGATCATTAATATTTACTATGCACATGTAATATCTCAAACCATTTGTTCCATGTCTTCATAAATATCTGTTCCATTTCCTGGAATTTAGAATACTGGTACAGTTTGAGCATTAATATCTGTGCAAAGAGAACTATAATACATTAAGGGATTGACTGCTGAAGGATTGACTGTAAGGAAAGAAAATGGAGTCAGTCTACAGACAAGCAAGTGTGGTCTGAAGGAAAGGTCTGGATCAAAGACCTTTGAAAAGGTCTGGATCAAAGACCTTTAAAAAGGTCTGGAAGAAAAACAGAGAGGAAATTACCACTTGCTCTCAGAAGAGGTAATAAATTAATGTTTATGAACTATGTCAACAGAAGATGTGCTTCCATAGCAAAAGAAGAACTAGTGATGCACTGGAAGAACACTTAAAGAATGTTTCCCTGTTGCAAATAATACACAGTGGTATTAACACAGTAATTCATAACCATGCATTTGTAAGGTTACTTTACTTCAAACAGATGTAAGAATAATTCCAGTATTTCATATCTTTGGAGTTGTGAAATTTCTGTTAATATTGCCTGCCTCAAACTCCGTTATTTTATAACAACCATTCCTTTATCATTTGTGGAAGACTAAAAATAGCCTCACAAATAAGAAACAACTTTTCCAAGATTTTGGTGGTCTCCAGTGATCACTGTTATTTTTACAATTTCACTGAGTTTTTCAGTAGGAGCATGACAACATCGCAACTAAGTGAAAAACCAAAAGCTAGAAATATGAGCTTACAATATTTGTATTGCTCTAAGAGAAATGTATTCCTACAGAGAAGTTCAAAGACAAATGGGTATCAACTTGTTTTAATAAGCAGCTTTCTTTAGTGACAAGTTAGTTTTAAAAATACCAGGATAACAAAAGAATTTAGTAACTTACTCTAAGCTCAGTCTTTCTCTGGAATAGAAAATAATCCAACAGCACATATATTGGAGTGATAATGCCATCAGCCTTGATATTATAGTGTCACAGGAGTCCTCATAATTTAGTTCTTCCACACTCTACCATCAAATTTAAATAAAGAGTAAAAACTAAATAAATACCATGGCTGCCCCAAGCTTTTAATTAGTATCAATATAATGTGCAGAAACTAGATCAAACATAAATACAGCTAAATAATGTAAGCATTAAGGACACATATGGCAGTTGGGAGAACTAGGTTGTATTCCCAACTTTTATTCCCTTTGAACTTCAAAAGGCTGATTCAAAGCTTTATACCTCTTCTTCTTTTCTCTAAAAAGAAACACTATCAATGTTCATAAGATTTCTTGTGAACCTAAATAATGCAAAATATTGTTATAAACTTCTGAAGTTCCTACCTGGCCTATACAAATCATATAATAACTACACTAACTATATATATAAAGTCCAGCATCACTAATTGCAGTAGCTTGTAAGAATGTCTATGCTGTAATACTTGTAACACTAATTGATTATTTTATTATGTATCTATCTTTCAGAAGCCATTCTTCTACCTGTAATCTGTCTTGTTTCATAACAGAATTTAAGTAGTATGCAATTACTTAAGCTATTATTTTTTATTAAAAGTAGGACAAATTATTCTATAGATTAATTCAGATAACCATCTAAAATGGAAGGATTTAATATGCACACTGGTAACGCAATAGATCCACAAATACATTTAATTTGTTGTTAAAAAAATTTCTTTATACAACCCTCTTTTTAAGTATGCATCCTTTAACTACATTCTGTATAATCAAATCACAGGTCAAATGTTACTTCAGTGAAGAAACTGAGAACATTTTAAACTAGTCAAACTGGCACAGACAGAATTTTAGGATTAATGATTTGTGATGTGAAACCATGGATGAATTAAAATGATTATGGGGAAGAGAAGATATGTCAAAAGTCTTAAAATATGGCCTAGAAGTAACTGAACACATAAGAGAACTTGGATAGAGTAGTTTCATGTTGTACCTGCAGAAAGATAGCAGTACATTCATCTATTGTCAGCACAACATATCGATCTGTACTTCCAAAGAGTCTTAAGGAGTAACCACTGTTTCTTTCAACAAAGGTAATGCCATATCTGAAAAAATAAAATTATTTCATTAAAACTCAGACAAGTAAAATAATACAATTTTCTTTAAGGAAACGGGTAACATACACCCCTTAATACAGGTTTTTAACTTATACAGTCTTGATCTTTCTAAAATGCTCAGTTCATTTTAAGACACAGTGATTCACTTTAGCAGTGATTAAGTGAAATTAAATATTGCTAACTGCATTGAGTATGACCTTGACATCCAGACTTTGAGTTTACAGAAAAATATAAAGGTAATATAGAAACTAATACAGTTACTTAGAAACGTTTTCTAACTTTTTATACTGCATTTTTTTTCTTCCTTTCATGATTGTGCAGCACAAGGCAAAACAAATTGACTGATTGCCATTAATGTACGATCCTAAAACTTTTTAGTGACTTAGAACTGCCAGCAGCACAGGCTGTTGTTGTGTTTTACTAGGAAACACAAGACACTCAAACCTGAATCTGCCAGCAGTAACTCTAGAAACTTGTATGGACAGTGTGTTCAGACATTTAAAAAAAGTAAACTCTTACCTTTTCTGAAATTGTACAGCTCTTTGCTCACTATTTAACTCTCTCATCAGTGCTAAAAGGAGCTAGTGAAAAAGTAACAAAACATTGTTCCCAGCTACTTGGCTTATGGCCAGGCTGAACAGAAAACTTGAACAAGTCCAAGTTTAAAAGCATATTAGATTTTGTGTTCAAATTTTAAATGTCAAAGACATAGATATTTTTTTATCCTACTGAACTCTAATTAGACACAGACCAAAAATGGCTCCACAGCTGACTCAAGGATATAATACTAAAACTGGCATGTCTGTCATGCAACATAGTGAAATCAACTATCTGTATCTCTGTCACTATGTTTGAGAGGTATTGCTGCTCTGGTCCCCATTTCTTTGCTTTGTTGTTTCTTTGTTTCTTTCATTCTTCCTTTTCTTTTTTTTTCCTTACCCCTCATGAGATAAGGTAGCTTTACCAACTATTTATTACTGTAAGAGCAAAATTCAAGAAAATTATGTCAAAGAAATAATAAAGAAGCACAATGATTTACAACCCTAGCAGTTTTCATACAGTTTACAGAGTATGAAAAATAAAATGAATAGTGGATCTGAATTTTATTAATAAATTAGCTTTTGTTTTAAACTTAGCCTCTCCTAAGCACTGTGATGCACCAGAAAATAAGATGTTTTGCTGCTGTTCAGTTTGAGTATTTAGCATAGCTTCAGTAGATCAAAACAACAATAACAAAACCCCAAAGCAATTTTTATGAAGAATTAAATACAAAGTCTTCCAAGGACCGAGAAGCTCTAAAGAAAAGAAAAGTTTGTTAACATCATGATTTTCAGAGAAAAGTAGAAAATTAAAAAAGTTTTTCTGATTTAAAAATACCTGCTACAATTTTAAAAATTGGCCAATTCCATTCTGGGTGGCGTGTGTGTGAATCTCTAGTACTAAGTGAAAAAACAGAAAAAAACATACTCTTGTCTCTTAAAAGGCTAATAAGTGTAATTGCAGAAATGTATGTGACAGCCAAGTAGACAGCCAATACATGATAGAATAGAATAACATACATGTCCTGAAAATCTGAAAATAAATAGCCCACATTATTAAATAGGTTCTTTTCACTCACCTGGATTCAAAAAGTTGAAGAACATCTGGCATATTAAGAAGACCTTCAGTTGTCAGAAATACATATGGAATCTGTACTTCCAGAAGAAAGGAACAACCATGATTCCCTGCAACATTTTGTATATGTAAGATAATAGTTTAATAAACAAAAAACTATAGATATAAAAATATATCTATTTGATATATTAATATAAATATATAAAACAGATATAAATATTAATGTAGTTGATATATTTTTTAAAATTCAAAAATTCAGCTTTTATTTATCTCCAATAAAATGCTTCCACTCTATACTTTTTTCCTCCAAAAGTAAATGCCATTGAATCTTTTTGAAAGTATGCTTTATTTCAGATTTTTTTATATTTACAGCATTCCTTTAGAACGAGGAAGGGTGGATACAGCTTGCAGAAGCTGTAAACAACTTATGAACTTGGCACAAGTTCTTATAAACCCACATGTACTCCAACATCCTGGCCAAAACTAGGCTTACACTTAAATAAAAACACCTTCTTGTGGCATAGATAACCCAGCTCTTTTTGTTGAGCTTTAGCTCTCATAATGTATTACTCATTCTCTTCCACACGCATATGAATGTAGCATTTTATGGAACAGAAAATGTTTTCTTTTCATATGTCAGTCTAACTGTTTATCACAATTCAGGAGAACACTTACCCATTTGCATTGTCTCAGGGAGAGTGGTTTTAAAAGTCATGTAAGTGACATTCAGATTTTCACACAGATTTTTCCAGCCAGAATTTTCAGAATAATTGTATTCCATTACTAGTGAGAAGTGCATCCAAGGGAAGTCAGCTCCAATTTGCTGATTATGTACAATAATGCAGGAATATCTACTAAGACTTAAAAAAACCCAACAAAATAAAAGTAAGTGCAGGTAGAAATATGCTTAGAACAAAATAAACTCAATTTTACTTTGTTGAATTCTAACTGCTTAAAGTCTGTTTACAAAAATATATTTGCCCTTCCTGGCTAAGGTTCCAACTCCTTTAAAAATGAATTTAAAAATCAAAAGCTGTACTCTACCTCCTACAATTATCTGCCTAAAATCTAATGTATTTCAGAAATGTCATAATTTCTAATTTCTTATGTTATGCCCTTCCACCATTGTTTTCTATAACAAGCAAAAATCATGTTTCTCTACATATTTCTCTTTTTCTAAACAGGCAAAACAACGCATAAAGAATATGCAATTGCTTTTTCCCTAAAGTTCCTCTAGGCCTCACTAAGCATTTTCTACAGTGGACAAAATTCTCAAATCTAAAAATGAAGCTGTAGGCAAATACTACAGCTATAAAACTAATACTATTATGAAAACTTTACTCCAGAAAGACTCATGGAAAAGATCTAAAGTAATTGAAATTTCACTGACCTTAGTCTCGACTATAGAATTTGTTCTCATGAATCAAGAATTTAACTTACTTGCTTATGATCTCTTTACAACTTAAAGGGGTTTGTTTTTTCTCAGAATTCAAATCCACAGCTTTCAAACCTGCTTAAAAAAATTAAACAGTTGATGAAATAAATAAGCCTCTATGACTATGAATCAACACACAACAGTAAGCAGCAAATGTGGAACAACGCAGGTTATTAAAATTTTAAGTATTACATATTCTCTCTTTTTTAAGTATTACATATTCTATCTATACAATTTCTGTATTGCACTGTTGGACGTAATGATTTAGAAATTTCCTTCTCAGAACTCAAGGGAAAAATAATGCAAACAAGTTCAATGTCTCACAAACTCACAACCCTGTTACCTTAAAATGAAAAATTAAAGGTTAAAACAAAAGGAACCACATTTGCCCCTTTATAAGTTAAATTTCTTTACATTTTTTGTACATTTGAAATTTTAACTGGAATATGTATCTAAGAAGGAATGTTGTTTCTACACAAGTGCCTCTTTTCAAAGGCGTAGTTGGATTGGCCTGTGTTTGCAAAAGAGTCTTAAGTTCTTAAAACAAATAAAGCTCTTTTCATTAAATATTATTATTAGTAAAACCACTGTGAACATGCCTCCTCCCTTTCAAAACATTCTAAAAGACAGGCTTTCTTCTTTTAAGAGCACAGGAAATCTAACTTTATTTTTAAAGGCAAAAGAACAGTATAATACACAACATTTGATAAGGTTCAAGCAAGTAGGATTTATGAAAACTGATTTTAAAAAAGCAATAAAAATGAGTCAGTGACTTGTTCTAAATATAACTATAAGCTCAAATTATAATTTTCCTGAAACATGGTTTTTGGTTTTTTTTTGACGTACCAGCTGAATTTGCAGTGTCAAACAAGCTTGTATTTCTGAAATCACTCACAGGTAAAGTGCTGAAGTGATGAAAGTGCTACTTGTATCAGTGGGAAGGTGGGATATTTGAAACAGTATATTTTTGCCTTGAGCTTTATAGATTGATACAGTTTATGCTGACATATTTAACAAATTAGCAATGTATAGCTAAAGGAAAATATTATCTGTACCTGAATACTCATTCAAGGCTTTATGCCGGGGAGTTTAGTTAAGACTTTTAAAACCTAACTGCTCTGAATACGCTTGCAAGGAAGAAAACTTGTGACTAATGATCAGCTAAAAACAATGAGACAAACTAGTCAAGACAACAGATACAAATATAATTAGGCAATGGGCTGTCCACAGCTCCTTCATGTTCTGTTAAAAAAAATCTTTGACCCAACAGATAAATTATTACTCTCTTGAAATGGAAAACATTAGACCAGCACTTCTAAATGGGGGAAAATAAAATTAAAAGATAAAAGGCTGATGGAAGAGTTATGGAATATTAAACAGTGAGAAAAATATGTAGAAAGGGTCCTGATGAGAATGGAGAAAGACCTGCACCAAGCATTCACACATGAATGCAGCACTCTACAGGATAAGAGCCACTTTTTATTTCAAAAATACACATAAAATAATAATTTACCATCTATCCTAGATAATGGTTGAATGAAGGCAGCTTTTTCTCTTTCAGAGTCCATCCTTGTAATTATTAATATCTGTATGAAGAAAATTAAAAAGAAACTCCAGTTATGTTAATTTTTTTCTTTCAGCCCACATACATCTTTCTTTCTCCTCTGCAGAGAAAACACAAGATTGAATAAACAAATGGTAAAACCAGAAACTTTGAGTTTTCCACAATGACAATTGTAGAATATTCCAAGTTGGAAGGGACCCATAAGGACAGAGTCCAACTCTGTGCTTTTCACAAGACTACCTAAAACTAAACCATATGAATATATCCAAGAACTTCTTGGAACTTGGACAGGCTTAGTGCTTTAAACACTTACTTAGAAGTCTGTTCCAGGGAGGACCACACTCTAAGTGAAGAATCTTTTGCCTAATGTGCCTGAACTTCGTATGACACCACTTCATTCCAGTTGCTTGTGTCCTATTACTAGTTACCAGAGAGAGGAGATATACACCTTCCCCTCATCTGTTTTGCTTGAGGAAGATGTAGGCTGTGATGGGGCCACCCCTCAGCCTTCTCTTCCCCACGAGGAACAACAGAAGTGACATCAGCTGCCCTTCCTCTTGCTCTTGAAGCCTTCTAATATCTTGGTCCCCTCCTCTGGACAGACAAAACAGACAAGTTTGATATCCTCCTTGTATTGTGGTGCCCAAAACTGCCCCCAGCACTCAAGGTGAGGCCATCTCAATGCAGAGGAGGTCAGGACAACCCCCTCCCTTTCTCAGCGGGTGATGCTGTGCCTGATGCACCCCAGGACATTGTTTGACCCTCCTGGCTGCCAGGATACCACTGAATCAATTTGCTATTGACCCAGACTTCCAGTCTCTACCCACTGGGCTCAAGTCTCTTTCCCAATTTGTATGTATAACCATGGTTGCCCCATCCCAGGAGGAGAATTTGGCACTTAATCTCCATATAGTTCATAAAGCTGGTGAGTTCTCAGTTCTCTAGCTTAATTTTTGTGAAAGGCCTTTCTACACTAGTATAATCAGTAAAATCACTTAATGTACTTTTAATTCCTGTGTCCAGACAACTTACAAAAACATTTAAGAGCACTTTCTCTAAAACTTAGTCCTGGGGAACACCACTGGTCACTGGCCACCAGCCTGATGTAATTCCATGTACTGTAATTTTTTGCACTCAACCCATTTGTCAACTGCTCACCCAAACCGGTATTATGGACTTGTCTAGCTCTGTGGTGAACAGTTCATCTAGGATATTGTGAGAGACAGTACTGAAAACTTTGCTAAAGTTGAAAACCACACACACTGGCTTTCCTTGGTCAACTAGATGGGCCACCTTGTTGTAAGTGGGAAAAGAAAGGAAATTAAGTTGGCTAAGTAGTACTTTTCTCTTGTGAACTCATGCTGGCTGCAGCCAATGATTGCATTGTTTCTCAAGCATTTTCCAGTATCTCCCAGAATAAACTTTCCTATAATTTTAACAGGCACTGAAGTGGCACAGACAAGTCTGTAATTACCAGAGGCTTCCTTCTTTCCCTTCTTGAAAATTGAAACAACATTTAACACCTTCCAGTAACCTTAAGTAACACCTAAATCAGCTGGGATGTCTCTAGACTCCCAAGATTGTTGAAAAAATAATGGAAAGAGTTCCCATAATGACATTTTTGAGCTCCTTCAGTACCCTGTCAACCTCACTGGGCTCTGTACATCTATGCACATTCAGATGGAGTAGCAAGTCTCAAACAAGCTCAGGATTGGCTGGGAGTCCACCTTTGTCCTCAGTCAAGTCTTCTAACACCAAACTCTGGAGATTGAAGACAGGCAAAAGAAGGCACTGAATGTCTCTGCTTTGTTTATGTCCCAATTTGTGAGGTGACCAACTTTGTTGAGCAACAGACCAATGTTGTCTCTGATTCTTATTTTGCTCTTGACTTATTTAAAAAGCTCTTCTTGTCATTCAGTGTTAGCCAGCTTGAGCTTCAATTGAGCTTTGGCCACATAAATTTTCTCCCTACAGGAGTGAACAGCCTCTCTCAAGTCCCTTCATGTCACCTGCTCATAAGTGATATTGCAAATCCATATACATTGCTTTTCCACCTAAATTCTAGAAGATCTCTGCTCAGGCAGGCCAGGCTTCTGCCTCGCTTGCTTGGCTTTTGACTTGACTTACTCCTGAGCTCAAAAAGAATGCTTGTGAACCTACTTAAAAACATTATCTAAATATATTATATCCCATCATTACTATTGTACTAGACAGATCTGTCACATTAGAAACATTATCCCTATGGAGAGAAAACTTAAGCTGAAGATATCTAGAATTCAGTCTGCAAGGTACTTATTTAACAGAGGGACGTACTGGATTTACTGCTGAACTGATTAGAAAGATCTTCCAGTCTGTAGATGGAGTCACAGAAGTGTTTCTGCCAGAGATCTGAGACTCACTGAATATTGATTAAGACAAAAATGTTGAAAAGAATTAGAATCTACCAAACTGACACAGTCTTAAAAAGAATCCCCACCACAGAAGGTGTTTACCTTGTCCATCATTTTATCTGATACAAACTAAACACATTGCTACATTAAGTATATAAAGAAGAACATGTACCTAAATACATCACCATGCTTTCTGACAGGATGCTCTCTGAACTTTTATGCCATTCTACAGATACTTTTCATGTTGTACACAAGATAATATTTTAAGGAATCACATGTCTGATTCTTAAGATTTACAGACATAAGATTATCATATGTGTAAATATTAAAAGAGCGTTAGATCTTGGCAGAAAAGAACTTCTGGTCTGACAGGCAGAGGCAGATTTCAATTTCCATAAGTAGGTGCACAGAAGAGCAACTCAACAATCCACTGGCATCTTTATAAGCAGTTTTGGACAACTGCATGTAAAAACGTTGACCTGCTTTTCTTCACACAATTCAACAGCAGACTCATTATATGTTCAAGTGAGCTAGATAAAATTTTTAATAATATTCTATTAAATCAGGAGTATAAAAGATAATAAAACAAAGAGGATTTCTTTTCTAAACCAGCAGTAACTTCTACCTTACAAAGGACATGTCCCATTACAGTCCGGCATCAATAACAACTCTGGCTAATAAAAGGATCATAAGACTATCCTATTTCACATCATATTTACTGATATTGATGTGATACAACAAAACTGATATTGATGTGGTACGACAGAACTGATACTGATCTGATATGATAGCAAATAGTTTATGGACTACAACTTTTACTTCTTATTAAACTGGAATACTCCTTCTACCTAGTCAGGCTCATTAAAACCTGTCTCTGAATGTTAGGAAACAGGAAACAATTAGTAATTGTGAATAAAATAATATATAGCATTATATTGCATGCATATCTCTGCATGACTAAGTCAAGCAAACAAGTCAAAACTCAGGAGTTATAAATAAAAATTTTTAAAAATCATGGCTAGTGGAGTTGAGAAGAAAAGCCAAATTGCCACTGAGCTGACATAAAAATGACATCAAGCTCTCACATGCCTCCTACTGCAACATAATCCTAATATTACAAAGCAAAATGTGCTGCTCTTAAGAAGATAAAAAGGATGCAAAATCATCTTTGTCTGTTGAAGGACAGACATCAAGACAATCAGCACCATTTTATTTTTATTGCTTCATTTTAATTTTAAATTCAGAAAGGATATATAAGTTGTTATATTGTTCTTCTAGTAAAATTTAATCAAAAGATATTCAGAACCTCCCAGTGCAACTCTTAAACACAGGAAGAATAAATCCTCAGGAAGTGAAGTATGGAAAGAAGCTAAAATAAACTTAAAGATCTTTTTTGGTTGTGTTTAGGAGCCTAAATTCTATTCCAAACAGTTAGAACACTTTAAGCACTACACATTTCATTCTGTTTCCTAATGTGATTAGTATTCTGTAAAGAAATAATAAATATTGTGCAAAGGAAGGAGATGTTTGGCACTGTGTCATATCACCCAAAGTATTCACACATCCAGAAAAGAGAATCTTTTGGTAATTTGAATATCCTCCAGAACTGTCTCTTCTATGCCAAAACAATCACTCACAGATATTTGCTTTCTATACCATTCAAATGCCAGGAGGTTTACCAGATACACTGGTTAAGCAGAGGTTATCTGTGGACAACACCACTTACACACTCCTTGACATATGTGTGCTCCAAGCCACACCATAAAAGCACACAATCATGACTTGTGCTATGATTCTCTCTGTGCCAGATGACTGAGGCTTTCAAATAAAAGGCTATATTATAATTTTTAGTAACTGATGTGATACAATAAATTTATCAGGAAAACAAAACCACGTGAAACAAGATAAAGCCCTGGCAATGCTAAAACTCTTTTGCATGTTATTTCATGCATGCAACAAAGGGAGATTTGATCAACCAAAAACTTGTACTGCTGTGACAGAGTTCTTAAAATTTATTTAGCCTTATTTAATAGATACCATGAGGTAATTATTTGACTTTTTTTCATAAATGAACCCTTGTTCAAACATAGTCTTGCAACTACTCATGTAATCAGGAACAATTTTGTTTGTTAAGAGAAACTGATTATTTTGTTAACCTTAACACTGTGGCTCTCTCCATAACTTTTCATCCAATTTAATATTTCACACTGAAGTGCTGTTATTTTGGGATGTGTTTCATGCTTTTTCTGGCTGCTGTACTGTACAATCTTCAGCTGCCTCCAGATATTATTCAAACAGGATTCTAAAATGTTTTTATAGACATCCTTTGCCTTGGACAAATAACCTGTTAATGGAGCAACAAAAGAAGTAAATGAAGTGACAAAAGATAATTGTCAAGCATTGTGCTCAATCTGCACATCAATTTAAGATCTATATGATGGTATCTTGCACAAAAACAGATGAATGTTAGTGGCTCCCCAGTATGGAAGGAGAGTGTGACCACTTATCGGGTACATAAATGGTGTTTATAAAACTGATGTACTTTATGTGGTATCCACTATGTAACTCCAGATAGAATTATACAAGACTGCATCCTGAAGCTGCAGATGCTGGCAGCAACACTCTTATATACTTATCTGTATTACTTATACTAACAACACTATTTCTATCACCATTGTCTAAAGCTTGTTTGTCCTGCATGTTTACCACTCTACATATTATCATAACTACACTCAACTCTGAATGCCTTCTATGTATAGATGGTGAACAATGCTGGGGTTATCTGAAAATGCATAAAGAAAAAAATACATCCAACATATAACTACATGATGAACCACACAGCACAACAACACAACAGTGAACACCACAAGGCCTACTTAGTATCTTGCCCAATTTTCTATTTTTTTATTTTATTTTAATTGTGCAATTTCCTGTGTGAGCTGTTGCTCAGGTTTGGAAACACAGGTGCTTTTGTAATTCTGAAATACAATCTAGGAGTGCTTCTGCTACAAAAAAAGAGTACAGGAAAAACTGCTAATTTTTCTTCCTCCCATTCTTCTACATTGTTTATAGTAATGAGAGAAAAGATTTGTACTTAGGATTCTCCTTAGATATTCATTCTGTATTCTTCCTCCTACTCTTTTATTGCTAGAAATATTTAAGGAAAGACAAAGTATTTTCCCTTACAGTTTAGTCTAGGGCAGATGTTTTAGATTTTACATCAATTTTAAGGAAACATCATCCATCCAGGGATAGTTCAGATTGAAGACAGATGCTCTGAAGCAACTTTATCTTCTGTAAAGAAAGGAGTCTGACTTTCCTAGGGCATTCATATAACTTCAGTGTCTTGTAGACCTAGCCTGATAGAGGTATTTGAAAATTCAAAACATACAACTACAGGAATTTAACAAGCTCAGCATTATCATTTCAGTCATTAAACTAGGTTACAATGGATTGCCATATTCCAAATTTGAATAAGACCAGAAAAGTTAAAAAAAAGTGCTTCTACGTAAGTCCAGTGTAGCAAGTTCAAGCCTCTTTCCTCATGATACATTAGATAATATTGAAGATTTTGCTTAAAATGCTCTCTGATTTAAGTAACTCACTTTCACAGAGCCTAACAATATTTTATGTGGAAAGTGTTCCACACTCAGAAAAGACAGATAGTAAACAGAAAAGGAGTTGACTTTTGCATGTTCTTCCGTTTCCACATAGAGTCCAACAAAACTCTCTAGACAGCCCATTTGTCATTCTGAGATACAAGACGTATAATATATGTGAAAGTTCTTAACAAATGGAATAACTGTTATTCCATAACAGTTTCAGTCTATTAGTCATGAACTGAGCATATACTCTGATGGCAGAGTCACAGCCACAAACATAAGGGATTGTCTGCAGAACACACACAAAGTTTTGGGTTTCTGGGTATCATTATTGTATATATACTGAAAACAAACCTAGAGCTGCGTCCAAGCCACATGTTAGTAGCAGATCTCGAACTGTCACCAGCAGGTGTACCAGAGCAGCGTGTCTGAACAGCATGATCTCCTTCTCATCTATCTGACCTTTATAAATAGAAGACAGAGGTGTGGGCTACATAAGATGTCACAACTCACGTTATATCTATATCTATATCTATATCTATATCTATATCTATATCTATATCTATATCTATATCTATCTATATCTATATCATCTATATCTATATCATCTATCTATATCTATATATCTGTGTGTGTGTGTGTGTGTGTGTGTGTGTGTGTGTGTGTGTGTGTGTGTGTGTAGTTAGCTTAAAAGATCCTGGTATCTAAGCCTTTTCATTAAAAGATCCTGGTATCTAAGCATTTTCATTAAACATACTTGAACATGGATAACCTTCAAAGTTTAGCCTTCAGATCTGGTGGTCTTGCCAAATAGCTTAAGATATTTCCCAGGTCATCTGGCCCAGGGCAAGTGGCCAATATTTTTGTTGCTTTACTGATTTTAGTGTGGCAAATCTCTGCCCCTAATTAACATCCCAAGATGAGAATTTTCACTTTCAAGAATGTAAATCTGAATGACATTTGCTTCTTCTTAGCCTCATACACATCAAACAAATTTATGGGCTTCCTGTTCTGTATTGTGTCCATTTTGAATATATATTATAGGACTTGACTGAACAGGAAGGAATTTCTAGTCTGAAGACAGAACATATATTTGAAAATTGCACACAGGTAATGGTGCAGTTCATCACCATAAACCATAAATTTTTGAAAACACAACTACAGAGTAAGTGTGCTTAATAACAAAACACATACTTCAAGATGCTTAGAAAGATTGAGGAAAATAATTTTAAGAATAAATTACTAGCTGAAGTTTCATTCTAGGAGAAAAATAATAGCTAGGTCTGTGTACAAGGATTATCATAACTTTTAATTCAAAAATACAAGGAAGGAAAAACCAACTTAAGGACACAGCATACAGAAGGACGTAGCTGGAAACTGCATGAAAGGTAAAGATCTTGCTACTATTCTGCATTAAAAGATAGAAAGTTAATGTTCAGCTCTGTTAGTAAAGGACTATATCCAACTCTTTACACCAACCACCATAAAAACTCTGTGAGGAACACAGGTCCTTTAGAAACAAAGGAACATAGTAAGAAACTATTTTATGATGGAAGACTGGAGCACTTGGTGATATTTGATGCATAAAAGTCCAGCAGGGGAATAGTAATCTGCTAATAGATCACTACCATCACAGTAAGTGATTGTTTTGTATGTTCACTCAGGGATTAAGGAGCAAATACATCAGCACAGTCTGGAGAAAAGTGGAATAAGACTGGATATTGTGAAACTATTTAAAACCAGGAAGGAAATAAAAGAAGTATGTTACCAGGGAGATTTTTGTATCTCATATAGACACAGAGAAATATTAATTAGGAATGAATTGAGTATTTTCTCTCTTGTTCCTGTGGACCTTCCAGCAAGAAAGTTCTTACTTTCTTCTGCTGCTTTAGCTGGGAAAAAATGCAATTTCTATAGCATGTAAACTGCATTTGAGAGGATGTAAGTTTTCTTAAATTATGATTGTATTGAAATGCAGATTCTTACACAATTTTTTTCTTTGATTCAGAGAAGCAGTAGTAATTCTGTGTACACTTTTCTCATTAATGGTTTCCTTTCTGTCATTTACTGATACAGATATAGATACTATATTTATCCCTCATGTTTGTGAAGATGGTGTCTTTTTTGTAAACTCACTCACATTAAAAGAACACTGCTGCTGATAATTTTAATATAATTTAATATTAATTTTAAAACCACAGTCTGTCATTCTGTAGGGGCAACTACAGTTTCTTTTTGTTTGCCTTCTTTCTCATTTGAGGTTTCATGGTTGTTAATGTTTTCTTTGAGAAAAATACATTCAACGCAGAAAGTAATGAAATTGAGACAGCAAGAGTTTATTGCATAATTTATGACATAATAGAGAAACATGGCAGGTAGTAGACAGCCTACTATGTTATCCTTAGAACTAGTTATCAGCTATGACCTGTACAACTCAAAAAGTAACACAAAATACTAAGTAACTTCCTAAATGTTCCTCAAACCAGTCTCTATTTTGTTATGAAATTTTCCTGATTCTCTTTACAGTCAAAAATCTTTGTAAGGGGTCACTATCTTTGATGATTTTCCTTCTAATTTTTCTGGTTTTATAGGGCTTTCATATGCCACATAGAAGAGAAATTAAGTCAGAAGGAAACCAAAGCATTATGGATTTTTTTTCCTCTTCATTTCTAACATGGGCATAGAATTTGGCATCATGTAGGTATGACAAAATATAGATATGAAAAAAAGAAATAACAAAACAACATAAACAACTTTTAATTTTAAAATCTATCATGAAAAAAACCCATTGTTTGCTATAGAAACAACATTTCTGAAGCATATGTAAAGTCATTTAAATTGAAATCCAATTAGAATAATTTTGTATTGCAATATTGAGTTTAATAACTGCAATATTGAAGACAGAGACATTTTTGAAATAAAAGAGGAAATCAGTTGTTGTAAGTCTATAAGATAAACTGTGAAAATATTTACCATTAATTTATAAGACATCTTGAACCTTGTTTCACTAATCAAATCTGTATTAGTTTTAAAGAAGAACAGATGTTCTAAACACTTACTTTGTTTGAAATGATCACATATCACTTTCTCTTGCTGTTTTAAGAAAAACCTTGTATGATCAAATTTAACACTCTCAAAGCTCCAATTAACGGAAGCAAGTACACCCAGATGTGTCAAATCTTTTAAAACAGGAATGGCTGCTTCTTCCAAGAGGCAGTAGGCCTGGCATTGGCTTTCTGGATAACACAATGAACAAAACATAATAACAAAGTTTGGTTTCACATACCACTAGTGGACATGAACACTCAAAAGATGCAGCAAAAGATTACCAATGATATCTTGTTCATGAAAGCTGAAACATTAATGAAAAAAGTTACTCGCCACAGAGCCTCCTGCAGTGGTAGCAATCAGCTTATCCTCACAACAGGTAACCACATTGTTCCATGTATTTCATAACATGATCAAACTCCAAGAGAAGTTAGTGTGAGTCACAGCAGTAGAAAATCCTAAGATTATTTGCTGTTCAGTTGTTTTACAGCAGCCTGCTTCTACATTATAGTCATTTTCAAAATGCTAATTTTTGTTTTGACTGCAGAAATGTTTTATTTTCTCTCTCCAATTGTATTAAAAAAAAATTAAAATCAGCTTAAAGCTATGATTTCCATCTCACGTGGGAACAGATGAAAGGACTATTCTACTCTTTCACTGGCTCTGTGAAAGAAAATCCTGTAAGGCTGGAATCAATGTATTGTGAAGGAAAACCAAACTAATCTGTGCTAGGCCTACAACTTCCTAGAGCAGGGTATTTTTAATTTTCTAGGTTCTTCTCTACCATTTCTACTGCATGAGAAAAGTGTTGTCAGTCATGTTCTTTGATACAATGCTCATACAACAGCGAGAGTTCAAGGGGTAAGGCCCAGTTATGTCTGAGATAAATCAATTGATGATTTCTACTGTTAAAGACCTCTTCTATCAAAATGACTACTGATCTCTTCCATTTCCATTTCTCATTTACTCAGACAAAAATGTGCAGACTAGTAAATGGAAAGTACTGACTGATTGGCATTAAGAGACTTCATGCCTGCTGATTTTGACCAGACATAACTCTAAGTCCAAGTTACTCTTTTTACCTTGCATGCAATTAATTGGCTTTTGTCTCAAAATGCTGCTCCATAGCACACTCTCATATCTGTGCCAAAATACATATCCATCTACTTGCAATACTTTCAGCCACAAAGAGAAGAGACTAAGTCTAATAATTTCTGTATTTCTCTGGGCAGTACTATTTTATATAAAATTATTTTGCAAAACTATATAGAATCACAGAATAAGTGAGATCATTGAGCTCAAGTGTTAACCCAGCACCACCATGCTCACCACTAACCCTTGTCCCCAAGTGCCACATACCCAGGGTTTTTTAACACTGCCAGGGATGGTGAGTCCACCACTACCTTGGGAAGCCAGTCCCAATGCCTGACCACTTTTCCAGAGTAGAAGTTTTTTCCAGTATCCAATGTAAACCTCATCTGGTGCAGCTTGATGCCATTTCTTCTTGTCCTGTCACTAATTACCTGGGAGAAGGTAAAGCAGTTCCAAAAATAGTGTATACCTGATGGTTGAATATCGACAGTGATACTGTAATATTCTTTATTCTCTTGTGTTTTTTCCTCTGCTTTTACAGTCTCACAAAAAGAGTCATCCTCTTTGTGAACACTCATATGCTGTTCTTCAGGCTGTACCACTAAATAATGAAACCACAAGGGAATATTTAGCTAATACCACAAAACCAGCTCAATGAATAAGAAAACTGCTCTATAAATGACTCTACATGCAAAAAATACTTTCAAATTAAGTTGTTTCTGTGAAACATATGTTTTCTCTTCATGAATTCTTTGTTGTTTTCCTGGGCTTATACAGTACAAAAATCCATAAAACCCAAAACCAGATTAGGCCCTGTCTGCCTCAATAGCCCAAGAAGTCAGGCATTATTAGATTGCTCTTCGTAAGGGTAGAAATACATAGCTGTGAAAGTTAAGGAGCTGATACTACTGGTCTATAATATAGCTCCATAGGAAACTTCATATGCCTTTATATTGAGAAAAAACATGCATGACAGGAAAGATGCTGCTGACCATAAGGAGATCAAACTATGAAAAATACATCAGTGAGTTTGAGTCAAAAAGTTTAGATACTTCAAGACATGCATAAAGAATATACAAGTTGCAAATGGAAAAAAAAAATCATATTGAAAATAATTTTTTTGCCTGTCATCTAGCTATCTTTTGCAACTTGTTAATATTTCTAAGTAGCCTTCCCTTCTTCCTGATATATGCTATGCACGAGCTTCAACTTCTGGCCACAAAGCTTCTTCTGTCTCTTTATTCTGATTATTTTTCTGTGAGAGGGGTTCTTATTGAATAAGAATATTCTTATAAATATTATTGATTTTTCTACTTAAGAATGCCACTTTCCTCAGCAAACAAACTAATAATACAGAGACAGAAGGCAAAGAAAAACTGAATTTTTATTATGTTAACTTAGATAACTTGCCTTATTTTGAAAAGGTATCTGGGGTTCAAAACTGGATCACTGAGTTTCTCCTACTATTTCCCTCCTGCATATTTTCTAAACACTACACATTATGATATCTTTAAAAAAATAAGTCAAGCAATGAAGAAGCCTTACAAGCAGTGCTAGCCTTTCAATTTTCAGTTAGATTTAGAATGACCCTTGATAAAAATGTTTCTTTATTGTTAAAGGATGCAATGTTTTGTATCATTTCTACATTGATGTGGTTATCACAGACCTCCATATTTTAATGGCTTCTCTATATGTCAGGCATAACTGCTCTGCAATACTGTGATCTACCTGTACACTTGTCCTAATCTGCATTGAATCTTAAACCCTTCCGAGCTTATTCGTGAATGCGACAGCTTTTCTTTCAATACGCTTGGATTCCTCGTTAGGCCATGCGGTTCTGGTCAAGGTTCACTAGATGGCAGCATAAAACTTCACGTACCTTGGCACCTTCTAAAATTTGGATTATTGCTTTCTGACACCATGAAATTCTTATGCATCTCCAACAGTGTCAGAAACACACGAATTTTACAAAAAAAAAAAAAAAAAAAAAAAATAAAAAAAAAAAAAAAAAAAAAAAAACCAAAAAAAACAAACCAAAAAACATCCCAACTCTACAGGAACTATTGCTGAGGCTTTTATGTAACAACTGTTTGGTTTTGTTTTTTTTTTTTAATGCTGGGGCATTTAACTAAAACACAGATAAAAGTTATGGTCAAAATTCTGCCATATGAAAGAAAATTTTCAATTAAAAAAATATAATTACATTCTGAAAAGTGAATTTAGCAGTATGCCGCTATTACTTGCCATTATATGTCACAAATACTTATTTTTCAAAACAAAAAAGAACATTCTTCTACTTTCTTTTTTCTCTCTGCTACTTTGAATTCCTTCAATGCTGAACATATAGCCTGATATTCATTTCCAAGTATTGCCATCAACAAGAACAAGACTACCAACAATTTTCTGTTTTCCCTAATATCTGTTTTGGTGCATTGTTTGATGATTTGATGGGGTTTGCACCAACATAACTGGCTCAAATGAACAACTCTTGCTCATTTCCTAGGTTACAGAAGTAAGTACTGATATTTGCTATTTGATAACTACAATGAATTTGAGGATTACTACTTCTCCAAAGTGGCCAGAAGATCCAATTTAGAACATATGGATGGAAGAGATCCCTCAAAGTAAGTACCATTTAGAGTTACTTTGTCAGAATAGGGATAAACGCAAATATTTTATGAGATAAAAAATCTCATCCCAAAAAAATGCACCCTCACCCCACCCCAAGTAAACCAACCAACCAAAATCTTCTAATATATCTAATGGAAAACAACAAAAGCTAAGTGTCCTGGGTTGTAAGATAAGCTTGTATTCCATTTGCCATCTGTCGAAGGCGAACCGGTTGGACAGGTTTTTGTTATCTCTCTCAGAGACAATGGTTTGTCCTGTAGAGGCAATGGTTTGCTTATACACCATTGACTGATTCAATGAAGGGCTGAAAAAAATGTAACACCGTGAGGGGTCCCACCCAGAGGGGGGAAGCAGCTCTCTCTCTCTTCTTCGCGGGACTCCGAGAGAAGCAGCTCTCTCTCTCTCTGCGCGGGATTCCCGGGGAAGCAGCTCTCTCTCGCTCTCTCTTCGGCGGCACTCGCAGCGAAGCAGCCGGCACGCAGAGGCGACGGCAGCGGAGCTCAGAGGCAACCCCGGCGCAGAGGAAGACCGGCCCCCACTGCCACCAGATCTTCAGAGGAAAATTATACCCTTCTAAAGATCACCACTTCAGCTGCAACTCATCAACTATTGCAAGGGAAAGCAATCGTCCCAGCAAACCTGATACTGGCATTCCTCAGGTTCTAGACTTTTTCTTTCACTGGTTTTGTTTGTACCGGTTGCATTTGCCTTTTTTTAAATTGTTGTCCAGTTTTCTCCTAGTAAAGAATTGTTACTCCCACTCCCATATCTTTGCCTGAGAGCCTTTTAATTTAAAGATCCTGGTAATTCAGGGGGAGGGGGGTTTGCCGTTCTCCATTGTACAGGAGGCTTTGCCCTCTTTCACAGACTCCTGTCTTGTCTAACCAAGACACTAAGTTACCTAGCTAGAATTCAATTACATTGACGATCATAAAAATGTTGTCAATATACTTCAAATAATTGACTAGGATGAACTAGCATCTATTGTAACTGGTGAAATAGAGAAGAATTAAATCTGGAAAAAATGGCAGAATAAACTGGTTCACATACCTTTTTCAGGTCTATCTACATAATACTTTTCCTCTCTTTGGGTGACTGTATATTTAGATCTCATCATAATAAAGTTGTTCAGATCAGAATCATCGTTGGCCCATTTAGAAGCAAGTACAAGTGATGCAGGCTTTCCACTACAGGATGAGTTGTCTAGTTTAGAAGACACAACTGTACAGCTGTCCGATTCAGATAGTTTGAGAGTTTTCTTTTCTTGGTTTAAGAAGCAAATTGCTTCTTCTGTCTTAATCTTGCTTATGCTTCCTCCAGTAAGCTCTTCCACAGATGTATTTGTACTGTGAATTTTGGCAGATGGCGGAGCACTCATGGCAAAGTTCTGCCTTTGAATCTGCAGTGACAAGTCTACTTTCTCTGACTGATGTCTTTCAGCAGAAAGCAGCTCTTGGTTTGTCACTGAATTCTTCTCTTCAAGCCATCCTAAAAAATACAATTTAATTTATTTGCTGTGACACAGATTTTTTTTCTTTTCTTTTTCCTCATTGGAATTAAGGACTTTGGATGATTTACAGAGAAGGCGTTTTTCAAACTTCTTTGTGCCTTCTCAGATCACTAGGATCCTTTTCAAAAAACTTGTATTGATTAGGCCTATTTAAGAATGCACAATATTAAGATACAGAAGGCCATATTATTGTTTGAAGTTTTCATCATCTACATGGGATTTATTGTTAGATTTCTAGAAAGTGGGACACAAAACATTTCATTAGGAAGAAAAATTTACAATTTTATTTTTTAGAGGGGAAAAAAGAAGTACGCAAACAGTTCCCACTGAAGATATGCTTCACTAGAACTACAACTTTTTTGCACTGTAGCTGCACATCCACCTGAAACACAGTGGCTAAACAATTAAAGAAATGTAAAAAGCAGTTAATGGGAAATGCTCTTGCATGAGCAGTGTCTATGTGTTTCACAATATCTCAAGTTACTGTCAATCCTTGGAGTTCTATAACCACAATTGGTGCCTTGCAGTCTAGTCATAGTTATACAACAAAATCTGAATAACTTCTTGCTTTTTTTGTTGAAGTTTGATTATAAATATGCAAAAACATCCATGTGAAATTCTTAAGTGATGAGCTGTTAAAATTTGAAATAGTTTGTATTAAAAAACCCTCTACAGCATCACAAAATAAGTAATTTTCACTGTAACATACTCCCCCCACTGACCTTGTGCTGGTAAGACTATGTGAATATCTGCTTCATTAAAATATTCTAAAGCAAAACTACTACTTCTTAAGAAATTCTCCTGTATGGAACTATTTTATTTAAAAATGACTGGTAGAGGCCATTCTTCATCTGCACAGTAATAGAAAAGATGACTTTGTGTCGTTCAACACTTTTCTTCCTACAATTTATTCTGAGTTAGTGAAAGTACACCTTAAAATTGCAGCAGAATCCTTCCTTTATTTTAATGTAAAACATTTTTTTCTTAAGAATAAGAAATAATTAATTTTCTTTGTTCTTGGAGATCTGTAACCCCCTGTGTGATTCTCTGTTTAAGTACATGTCTCTGGCTTTCTATCACTTTTTTAAAAAGAGAAGATACTTACTTTCTAATTGATATGATGTAAATTGTGTGAACGTTTCTACTTCTGTAGGGAGCAGACTGTTTATATTACTTCCATCCATACTGAATTGTTCCAAAATTTCCACAGCTGCTGGATTTAAACCCCTATGAAGCCGCCAGCCCTCTTCTAGTGAGCCAAGCACTGGTGCTTCAACCTCAAGTGGCAGCTTTTTCTGGAGTTCTGTCAGTGAATGATGCTGATGTGCAAGGTTAACAGCAGGATGCTCTACAAAAGAATCAGAAATTAACATATAATATCAATAATCTAGAAAGATGAAAACAGAATGTCCTTATGGAAATAAAAGCTCCCAAGTACTCTTGGCTTATTACATATATCTATTATTCATACTTCCATTTGAAACTCTGTGTCCTTCAATAGATTTAAAAGCAAGGTGGTTAACATTATCAGAAGAAGTGTGCTTTTCTGAGTTCTGTGAGTAAGAGGGCTGACGGTTTCATTTTTTTTTTTAATCTAATAATGTGTAGCTGCATTACTAAATTTACAAATTATCTTGATAATTATCTGTGGGTTATTGTCATGGTTACAAAGACTTATAATAATCCTTACCTGAAAAAAAAATTAACTGAAACAGTAATGAGCATATCATACATTATTTTCAACTATAAATCAATGTACAAATGAATTGGACAACGAAAAAAGTCAATATACATAACTTAATCCTGAGACTTGTAAAATGAAGGCAAATAAAGTGAAATGAAAGAATAGTAGTAACATATATTCTGACACTTTCATTAATAGACAGCAGCTTCTTACATATATTCTGACACTTTCATTAATAGACAGCAGCTTCTTTTGACTTTGTGTATTCTACTTCTCTTCCACTCTTGTGAAGTTACAATATTATCTTCCATTAACAGTACTATTGTATTGATTGCTACATATTTTGAAACATTATTTAAGGGAAAATAGCACAAAGGAAGGAATTAAACAAATTACCATATTTCACCAAGTAGTTATTTTATATAATAGTAGTGAACACTGTCACAAAAAAATAAAACTCTTACTTAATTCTAATTACTTCCATAGAAGGATACATGGCATACCAACTTCTGTGTTGCCATACTGTAACTTCTTGTATGTACTACAATAAACACATCATACAAACTTCATAGGGTTACAGTAACTGGATAAACTTCAATGACTCAAAATATGTGCTCCATAATATAACATTATCTTTTCTGCTATATTTTTCCATGCACATGGAACTTGCAAACATCAGTTAGAAATTGATTATCAATTAGAAATCCTTACCGACAAGCAAAAGAGAGCTCGTATTATCCCGATACTTCTCTGATTGCCATACCAAAGATTCTAAGAATTCCCTAGAGGGCTCTGCAATCAAAATACTATGAGGAACATTAAAAAAAATTTAGCAGCATTATCTATTGAATTTTGATTTATAAAAAAACATCTTTTAAATATATACCTTGTCTTTAAATTCATTCATTCATTTATTCACTCATTCATTATTTTTTTTTTCCTATCCATACAGAGGATGAGAGGAAAGAGTAAGAGGAGGGGCCATCAAGGCTGGGCCATGAAGTAAAGCAGCACTGAATGAGAATTCTGTCTAGACCACAATTCCTGTCCCAAAGGGATATTGAAATTCGTCCTGCATGTGTTAGAAAGATAGCAAGGCAAGAAATGCTAGTCTCAAATAAGATGAGAAGGAAAAGATGGAGCAATCCTAATCCTATGTTGGTATGAAAAGGCCTGAAATCTATTGTTGGAGGGTATCCCCAAAACACACAATAATTTCTTACAATATCTCTTCTGGATGTTCTGCAGGTGATCCTTGTGCAACATATGTGCTAGCCATAGGTATACATACACACATATTCCCACACACATACTTGCTAAATACTTTAAATATTTACTGTTGCCTACTGCAAAAAGAAGACTGCATTTTCAGGCTACAAAATCCTCCCAGAGAAAGACGTCTACAGAAGAAACTTCCTTTCCTTTTTCAGGTTCCTCACATAGAAAACCACACATATGGACTGTGCATTCCATCACTCACACAAGACACAATATATATGCAGCTCAAAGAATATAAGTACCAATTCATAAATACAATGAAGTTATTTTTTCAATAATTTTGAGGATTTATGACACAGAATTTGTCACTACCAAGGTTTGTCACTACTACCAGAATTTGTCACTACCTGTTACAAGAGAGAGAAATAGGTTCTTCTTGAAGTCCTCTGCACAGAAAATTAACCCATGATCTTTGTTGTTGACATGGAGGAGTTAAAGGCACTTCCATTTCATCTTTCATATACAGAATATATTCAGCTGGAAATTGCATGAAGTCCCAGCCAAAATAAAAATAAAAATAAAAATAAAAACAAAAATAAAAATTACAAAGCTACTTGTGAATGAAATACACATGCTTATGAATCTTACACAAGTAAAGTTTTGGATTAAAATAGAAAATATTTTCATGGGACAATTCAATAAGCAGTGTGCCCCAAATACTTCACATCTTTTTTCCAAATAGTCTGGGGAAACAATTGTAGATCACATTGCTTTGATGTAGTACTGGGTATATACACATCACATATAAGATTACTCTTAATTATAAATTTATAAATTGAATAATCAGGTACCATGGTTGAGATTTTGATATTCATACCTGTTATCCTTCTTAGATGATTCCTCCATAAATGATGTTAATTAAGTGGGAGAGAGACTACAGGAAATATTGTGGCTGCTGTAAGAACAGCCTCAGGAACTTCAAAAACAGTCAGGATTTTAATGAAAAAAACACTCTTTCAAGCAGAATTAGTTTTCATTGAAACTGCTAGGGATGATCACTGAAATTAATTACAATACCAGTTTTGGTTTTTTTTTTTTTTTTTTCAAGCAGTATACAAACAAACCTGGCAGGTTAAAAGTCCTCTACAAGTCACTTTAAATGTTCTTTTCTTTCTTCCTCCCAATCATATTAAATGTGGACATATTCATGATTTCTTGGATTTTATTCAAGTCCTATTTGCAACTTCATTGATTTTGGTGGTTCACATGATTGCCCTGGTATTAATCTCTCTGGCATTCTACTAAACCAAAAATAGAAATCAGAAAACCCACAGTTGTTCCATGTTCTGTGAACACTAAGGCAGAAAAATTGTGAATAAATCAGTGCCTCCACAAGGAAAAACACTTACAATCAATTCCCTATTCATTCCAACAGGCAGTAAGTAGATGCAATCATCATACCCACATTGCCTGGCCAATTGGCACACAGCAGCCTAGGAGTCAGTCACCTATCCAGCCGTTCACAGTTTCTCCTTGAAGGACCTAACAAGCTGATTGTTAGGCAGGAAGGGAAGGGACAGTGACAGAAAGCCAAAGGACATAAACATATCAGAAAAGCAGGGAAAAAAAAGGTAAGAAATTAAAGTGGATACAAAAGAAAGCAACAAACTTCCAGTCAGTGTCACTTCTTTCTCAGTCACTTAGAACAAAAAAAGGTTCAATGAACTCATGCTCTGAACTTCTGCTCACAAACCAGTTTTTGTGAAGAGCAACAATTTACGGACTTTACTTTGAACAGGACAGAAGCTTGTCTCAGGACAGCAAAAATACCTGACATATCTAAAAATAACTAGTCTTTCTTTTTGACCAATACTATTCATATCTGCTTTTGTCTAATTATTTATGCCTTTGAGACTGGAATTCTTTATCAGCTACATTAGTTAAACTCTGCCTACACTCAGAGTAACATTTCCTTTCTCAGAACATTGCTGACTCAGAACTATCTTGTCTCTCAATATCTTTTTTAAACAAACTCAGTGACTAGAGAAAGACTGCTTAGTCTTACGACTGCTTCTTCACAAGCAAACATATTTCACTTCTGGTAATTCATAAAGAACAAAATTAATTAGAAGGAGAAGACTGTCAGGCATCTCAGCTGAAACCTAACACCTAATACAGAAACTTCTGCTATCAAATGGTGTTCTGGCAGTGATTGCACACATTTGTAGGTCTCTATCCTACAGACCTGAGTCTATCCTGGAAAAAAAAAAAAAAAATAAAAAAAAAAAAAAATACATATATATATATATAGAGAGAGAGGGATGGAACCTGATTGTACCCCAACACCCCAACAATAGAATTCTGCCTGAAACAACAGTAGAGCTAAGAGAGCAACTAGTAATAAGGATTAATGCAGCCACTTTCTTTAAAAGACAATTCAAGATGGCTTGCTCACTTATCTACTGCAGAAGAATGGACAATACCCTAGAGAAGATCACAGTCAATTTATTAGTACTATATACAGGAGAAGATTCAGATCTACTGCACTTAAGCCCCTTAAGCTTTAGAAGTAAAGAGAAGTCAGAGAGCTGAGTAGACACAGATTACAGTTTATCATCCCAGCCAATACTCTCCAGAGGTAAAATAAACTTAACTTTATCTTGTGGAACTTGGTGTGTTTGCATTGAGCTTTTATATCAGCCACTTTGAAATGATATGATTGTTTCAAACAAAATTCCACTACAATACAGTATCTAAAACATGGTACAATTATTAGCCTGCAGGGGACAACTATCAGCTAAATTTAAAACTTGTTGAAACTAAGACAATAAAAAGGTGGTGTTCTGGAGAAAACTTGGCATCTTGAGTATTTTAGTGACTTCTGTATGGAAAACTATCAAGTGAACAAGAACTGATGGTTAATACTGCTACTGTCCAATGCAACAATGGATAGATCTTTTCATAGACAGGATATACATTAGGATGAGACCTACATGTATAATCATGTATTGACACTCTGCTCAGATCACATTTATTTGTAAATGTTACTCTTTGTGCAGGCCCTTCTTCATTAAATGAAAGGTGAAAAATGTCACCAGCACAGCCATTTTTCTGCCTCGTTTAGTCAGCCAGAATTTAGCTGTGAATATAGTAGGGCTGGCAAAGACTGAACATTATTTTGAAAGGTTACATCTAGAACATGAAAAAACTTTAACTAAGGTAGGAGGACTAGGTTAAGCAGTGAGACATCAAAGCTGCTCCACACTGGTTGATGGTGTAAATACCATGACTTTGATTTTCAAGCTACTAAAGATGGACAAACAGGGTGTATTTCCTGGTCCCAGTGCAGGAGAAGCAAGGATTCAATGCACATTAGTAAATACTCAACAGCTGGAGTTCCTTTCTGTAGAAAACAGCTCTGGCTTAACTTCCCAATCACATGTAATTACTGAACGATTTGCAACACATAATGTCTGCAGGGGAGTTTTGAATCTCTAGAACTTACAAACACAGCACTGCTACCTCAATTGTTCTCCACCACCCTCTTTTGAAAGCATTAATATCCCACTTTTAACAAATTTCCAACTGTGCTCTTTGACTCCACAGTTTTAACCAATCTGCCTTAACTTTCATCTACCCTCTCTCAGTAGGTGAGTTGCTAGATAAAAAAAAGATCTAAAAATTGAACAAAGTGCAAAAGTTGTAGACATTGCTTACAGCCACAAGCAACATGAAGGAATTGTAAAGTTGGTTGTGTTTAGATTATAAAGCTCTAGAAAGGAGTATGGCACTTCTATCTCCTTATTGTATGGGTACAAAATAATAGATTACACAAAGTGAATCTTCTTACTGATGTTTTCCCACAAACAGAATATTAAAGAAACTACCTGAAGAATTTATCTTAAATATCACCCCTTGATTTATATAGCTGTTCCTACCTGACTCACAGAATTCCAACATACTTGTGCTTATACTGGAGCAAACCTCTTGCGGAATGGCACAGTACTTGGAAATTTCTATTTTGTATGTAATTTCTGCTTTGAGATCTGAAAACAGATTTTAAAAGGTGCCATAAATGAACCATTTATTATTTTTTCCTGTCAGAGCATTCAGGCTTTTTATTGAACCTCCATGATACATTTTTATGAAAAATTAGTCATGCTTAGTAACCCCAGATGCCTTAGTTGATTAGAGCAGTGCTCAGTCTTGTCCCTTAAGTGACAGAAAAGGTCCCTCACAGTATTGCATAGTCACTATCTGAATTATCCCAAGATCTAATGACTACAATAATTTCCAGAACAACTAAACTATATCAAGTAGCCTAAATATACTTTATTAGGAGAATGCATCTGTAGATTCTTTTGCTATCAAAAAAGGACTAAAACAAAACCCCCAATAGGTTTATTTTTATGTACAGAATCCTCAAATCTCTGCAATCTCAGCTGCAAACATGACACTAAATATATCAGAAGAATGCACATGAAACTGTTTTAGTCAAATATGCACTTTTAAAAGTTTTGTTTCTGTCGTCAATATGACACTGGTTTACTTCAAATTGCTGCCCTATGAGACACAGAATTCAGCACACATCCTCCATCTTCAGAAGCATTAAGCCTTCTTTAAGCTCATTCATGTCCACCAAAAAAGTGGACAATTATTTATCTGGACTTAAAAAAAATTACAAAAAACCAACCCTCAGGCAATGCCTTTTTATTTTAACTAAACAAAATACTGTCAGACAAATCAATCCATTAGCCAATAACTGTCATCAAAGTTATATTTATCAGTAGTCTAAAAGCATTTAGTAATTTTTATAAAATTCCTTTAAAGAAACTATTACTGTCATTGAGAATAATCCTGTTATCCATGGAATTATTTAACCATTCTCCACCCCAGAAATCTGCTTTTGTATTTGCAATTGCAATGCAACAAAAGCATTTTTTATGGTATGACTGTTCTGCATATAATCCTCTTAGGGATATCTCTGCAAGTAAACTTAAAAACATGTTAGAGAGCACAAGATCAAATTACTACAGCTATGTTGATTATATATCACAAATCATGGCTCATATTACATTTGTGTTCAAGATTACAACACAACCCTGGACTAAATCAAATGGCAAGTAGTTTACTACCCGTTAAGGAAACATTTCTAATATCAGAAATTTGGGTGTAACACAGGTCCTAGTTCATCCACAGAAATTCTCATCTGATAAGCTGGGAAGTAATTTTTAAGTGAACTCAACATACAAGAGCTTGATTGTGTTAAATGTGTTGGAATGAAAGGAAAATCAGGCCAAGCGCTTAAGAAAACCAACCCTCACCTTCTCTAATCACTTGTTTGCAAAGGTCTTCATCATCTACAGCGACTGGAGCTAAATTTAACACCTCCTTTAGCTGCAAGTATGATGGAATCTTAGCACAATCAGATCTGCCACTGTTAGGTGTGCCAAATTCTAAATCAACAGGCAACAGGAAATACTGAAAAAAATATTAATCACAACAGAATGGCCAGTAAATTTCCTTTCGTATTACTCTACAGTCTGAGCTTCTTCAAAATCTTGAAATAACTTAATTCTAAACTAATTTAAAAGCTCTTAGGAGAGAAGTTGCTTGACATTTACACAGCACACACAAAGCTTTGCTCAATGCAGGGTAAAATACAATGTTACACAACTTCATATTGAGTCAGTGGAGTGTAAAAAGTGGATCTTAACTTACCGTTCCCAATCAAGTACAATCCTCATTTATTTTACTGAAAATTTGTTTTTTTAGAATTTTGAAAAATGGAGCAAAAAGTAGATTTGACTTCTTTAAAAAAAAAGGCAAGCTGGCTCCTCAAATCCCAGAACACGTCTAGTAGCCTTCCTTTTCCTGAGCTCATGTCATGGCTTCCTGGTCTGATTAATTTTTATTCTTAGTTTAACAAGTATCTACATAAAACTGCAAACACATCAGGTACCAGGACACACAGCTTGTCAGAGCAGATATTCATAAAAACAGCATCCAAGAATTAAAAAACTACAAATAACACCAGTGTTTTCTAATCTTGGAAGCATGAAAACTCGAAATATTTGGCAAATATGAACGCAGTAAGATGACTTGCAGGTGAGCAAACACACATGCATAACATAGAATAACCACTAACATGATATATTATTATATATGAAACAACAGGATGATACCTCTTCATCTTTCATAGATACAGTACAGAAACTCTCTTTAATCCACTGCAATTCATTTTGACTCTCTTCCACCTTCATTCCATTTTGGAAAGTCAAACATTCTCTTTAAAAGATCATAAAAGAAAGTAAGTGACTTCTTTGTATTACCTAATGTCTAAAACTGAAGCACTTAGCAATAGTCTTTATAGCCATATACATGGCAAAAGTTTTTCTAAATCCATGCCTTTTCTAAGAAGGCAATTCCAAGTGATGCTGTATTTATCTGTGTAATCAACCAAAGAAAATTTTAAATAAATAATACATTATATGCAGAGTAGAAATGCTTAATATTAGGGCTTGCCTTAAACAGTTACAGAAAAAAACCTTCATATTATAATTCTTCAACCTCCCAATACAAAAGTCCCTCATGTAAAAGTGCTTCCTGCAAAAGCTGCTGATCTAATTTCTTCCAATGTACAATTTTTTTACTAGACAGAAAATCTCTATAATCTATTGGCCTTATTTCTCTTTTGCAACCTTTCATCCCTATTTTCAGGAAAGATTCAGCATGAAAGATGGCAGAGTGCGCTTATCACTAGTTAAATGGAAAACTAAAAGTATGTTCCTGGCTTAACTGGAAAACTTTAAAACACTTGGAAGTAAAGCTCAGGAATTAAACCACTACTTGCATTGTAAAGCAAGGACACAAGAAGCACAGGGATGAAGATTTGTCAGGTAGAAAATAAGAGCTTCATCAGGCTTGCCCTTTATGCCTACAGGCATTAAATCTATAGTAACTTCTTCAGTCCCTGACACCACTATTTTCTGGAGGAATATTTTAGACTGCAGAGTACAAACTGTTCTGTGTCCAGCCTTGGGATACTCATGAATTTTAATTCAAGTTGAAGTCTATCTAATTGAGTCCCTTTCTCTAAATACATGTCCCTGTGTGCTGCACTAGAAGATCTGGACTCCTACTTTGGACAGGTCCATGGTTTTGCTAGTCAACCACAGATCTGAAGGTCAGAGCTACTTCTGTAAAGCATTTTTTTTCCCCATTATTGGTATTTCTGAAAGTCTTTACAGAATTCAGATCATGTTCTCTTCACTGGTTATCTACAGTATTCACAGTCTTACATCCAAGATTCACTGCAAGACTGGGGCTCAACTTTGAAAAAACAGGCAAACAACCCCATTCCTCCTTGTTATACTCTATAGGTACAGTTGATTCAGATGAAATTTGTTTTACCTTGCCTGTCAGTCATGCAAGCCTTCCAAGTGCAAAGGAAGTAATACAAGTAATCCAGACATGAAGAAAATCAGTGCAAGACTTAGCCAGGCTTTATGAATGTATGTATACAAGGGCTATATTAACAAAATACTGGGCCCATTTTTGATACAACATGTTAAACGTTAAAATGTACTGGTTTGTTCAAATTCATGACATAGGTATCATTCAATTAAATTTCAACCTAGCAATACAAAATTGAGCAAAACCATAAATAATTTCTATTTAAACTTGAAGAAATACAATTCAAGAACATGGATTTACTGGCAGCACATCTGAGAGGAGAGAAAAAAAGAACATGGAAGCATGTGTAAAATCCTAGCCTTACTAAATTTAGTGATACTTTCATGATATGGAATCAGTCAGTTTGAGGAAGGACTAGGTCCTATAAAGATGCACATTTTTTTCAGTGTTCCAAAACTAATATCCTGATAACATTTCACACCTATAGAATGTAAAAATGACAATTTAATTAATCTAGTTTTCTTAATGCATATAAATTTCACACTTCTGATTTTTTCCTAATATTAAAAGCTGAAGTCTTTACCTGTTGCAAACATAAAATAGTTACAAAGGTAAAATACAACAAATGTAAAAATGTTAATGGCATAATACAGAGACTATGGTTTATGTTTAATATTATACAGAAATTTTAAGTACCTGAAAATATTCTCTGCTGTTAAAAATTGTCCTTTAAAATCCAAAAGGGGATCTTTCACTAAAAAAAACTGTAGTCTGCTCAGAAGTATAGATAAAGTTGGCAATTTTTTACGAAAATGTTCAAGATTATCAATAAAAACAAACTCCTCTTCCAAACATAAATCTGACAAAATAGAAGAAAAAACACATTATAAAACAAGATAAAAATACTAAGAATTATCAGAATAAAGAGAATTGTTGAGCAACTGTTAGAATACTATGAATGTCAGCAAAACAATTAAGTGCTTTTAACTTCAAGCTTAAAAATCCTAAAGCATTTGAAGTGCAATGAAGTCTAGACTTCTATGGTTCACATGATAACCTCTAGTTTTCTTTAGCTTTTTGTCTTACATAATACCTGCTAAAAACAAAGGGTATTATTTTGTTTCCTTGTTTGCACTTTCAAGTGTGATAAAGGAATTTCTGAAGTAGGTTCTGGCCAAGAAACTTAGCAATTTTAAATGTACAAATGATGCACCCTCTCCATACATGTCTAAAACTAATTGCAGATTCCCTAATTATGAAGAAGAAAAATTACAAAGAAGGTTGAAAATTACTGTGATTTCAAGAATGATGACATATCAACACAGGCTGGGGAATGAACAGATCAAGAGCAGCCCTGTGAGCAGGACTGGGGGTGCTGGTGGGTGAGAGGCTGGACATGACCTGGCCATGGGCACTCACTGCCCAGAAAGCCAAACGTGTCCTGGGCTGCATCCAAAGCAGCGTGGGCAGCAGGGGAGGGAGGGGATTCTGCCCCTCTGCTCTGCTGTGGTGAGAGCCCACCTGGAACCCTGCATCCAGCCCTGGGGTCCTCAGTACAAAGAGAGACATGGACCTCTTGGATCAGGTCAAGTGGAGGGATCACAGAACAATCAGAGGAAAGGAACACCTCTCCTGTGAGAAAAGCCTGAGAGAATTGGCATATGTTATGCCTGGAGAGGAGATGGCTCCAGGAAAACCTTACTGTGGCTTCTCAGTACTTCAAGAAGGCTTATAAGGAAGGTGGGGATACACCTTTTGGGTTGTAGGTTTTAAACTTAAAGAGGGATAATTTAAATTAGATATAAGGAAGCAGTTTCTTCCAAAAGGGGGGTGGTCGATGTCCTATCCCCAGAAGTGAGGCAGTTCCAATCCCCAGAGTTGAATTGTTCAAGGTGAGGTTGGATGAGGGTCTGACCAACCTGAACTGATTACAGAGGTGTTGATAAATGGTCCTTTTGAACCCAAGCCATCACATTATTCCATTTCTTTTTAGTTTAAACTACTGCTCTCCTGAGACAGAAATGATGCAGTAACCACATTTGACAAATCCCCTTATTTTTGCAGTATGAAATACAGATGTATCTACACACACATTTTACATATATATAATACATACAGAAGGGCAAAGGGAGTTTTTTGTTCTTTTTCCACACTTTTTACCAATATGTAAGTCTCCTTATTCCCACATTTCCCTTTCACTCCTTGGATGATTCTCTGCCTGTAATAACTCTCTGTTCTCTCATAACAGCCTGGAAATGATGGATACTTATTATGTTCCCACCAAACTCTTTTATGGTTCTAACTCAAACAGATCTCCATAAAGAAATCTATCTTAGACTTCTTTTGGTTTGCATGTCTCTTGAACTACTAATACAAGCCCTGCTTTTCCAGGGAATAAATCTGTGGTTATACCTTATGCAACTGCAAAGGTTTTGATCACCCAAATGATTTCATCAATGTCTTTGGAACATGTGCAAAAAAATTTACAAAAGTTAACATAAATACTCAACCAAAACTCAGAAACTAGTGAATTGAACATTTTACCATGCTGTGGTTCTTTAAATTCAGTGCCATAGTAAATCTTCAGATATTTGTCTTGGGTGGAGTCTTCCTTAAAACTATTTTTCGTAAGTAAAAAAGGTTCTTCTGTGTAAGTCTGAGAGTGAGGATTTGAACTTGGAATAACTTCTATTAAATCATTACTAGTCTGAAACTCTACAGAGGAGATAGGTTTCCTAAAAAACAGGAAAAAATATCTGATGCTTAAGCTGTAGCAAAATCAATGTTGTAATTTCCCTGACTCTGCAGTGAATCAACAGCACTTAGGTGCTCTAAGAACTTTGATAATCACCATATTCACTGAAGAAGATTCGAAATTAGAGTTCTCTCTATTCACTGGATCCATGGTCAAATTACATGTTCAATTCTTCCACAAGAAAAAGCCTTTTAAGCTTACACTTAGCATAAAATTGCACAAAAAATAAAAAGCACCAAACCTATTGATGTCATAATGTTCTTGACAAAATTTGCTGCTGGATAAAATGTACACTTCTGTTTCAAAAACCATGAAGAAATTGCAAGTAACAGCAAGAGGAAAAAGATCGGGTAAGTGAAGAAACAAAACCACTTCTATTTCCTGTAACTTTTCATACAAACCTCAGAATTACTATTATTTATTAAGAAAACCTCCCTACTGTTTGCCAAATAAGTAGGAAAATCATTTGAATATAGAAAGGAAAAAAAACCCACAATTTTCCCCAGCTAAGCATGCATCTGGACAAAACAGTTACAAATAGCTGACTGAAGTATGTGTTAATGCTGCGCTACACATGTATGTGCAACAATATAGTAACTCTGATGAGTGCTGACATTTCTGAAGCACCCAAATCAGCTCATCTACACTTATTGTATTTACTGTTCTCATTTCAGACAATTGATTTCTCAGTTTTGCATCCTATTGATTTATTCATATTGTTAATACTTAGTATTACATCATCTTGCTATTTGCTAGACATCTAGAGGTAATGCTTATAAAAGCAATCATAATAGCAGAAAAGCATAGAAATACACCTCTGAAATTCAGTAGAGGACTTCATGTGTAAACAGCAATAGAGGGGAACCTCTGCTACACATCTAAAAAAAAAAAGCTATTTTACAACTCTTTGGTTATAGTTCAGAAATTAATTCTGAAGCTACAAGTAGTATAGTTCACCAGTAGTAACCATGTGGTAATGATAATAACTAATATCCAAAGCTTCACATGACATAAGCCTTTGAAAATCCATGTACCTTAAAACTTAACTGCTCAAGTTAGAACTTCACTGAAATCATGGGGTTTCACTACAGTTTTATAGATAGAATAAACCTAATTGAGTTGCTTATTTTGAGAGTACACATGCCATCTCTTCCAAAGTCAAAGTCCTAGTAGGGCTTTTCTAGAAAATGGTAAATGTTTTAATGCAGACTATTCTAAGTATGGAAAAATATCTTCAAGTCATATATCCAGACCTGTACAATTCCGTAAGATAATTGTCTTAGAGAAGAGGGGGGGGAAACAGCTTATTTTCATCTTCCTGCAGTTTTCAGAGACTTTCTCCAATGTCATAAATAGATTACCTAACTATTAAAAAATTCTACAAAGAACCAGTGAACTCCATAAAAACACAATACTACTTTTAGTGAAAAAAAGACCCCATCTCTAAGATATATGATAGGAGTGTACAGCTCCAGCACATTTGCTACAGTCAGGAAACATCTTCATATTCTGTTTTCATCTCTCATTAGCATATAATTCACAAAATACTTGAGTGATATCAAAGAAATCATAAATGTTTTTAACTTAAAGTTACTGACTTTTCCAGGAAATCCTCCACAGGCAAACTTTTCTTCCATTGATCTAATGCTGAAATAGCCATCATGTTCTGTGTTGAACCAACTAAGATAAAAAGACAACAAAAAAAGTCATGCAGAAAATATTAAAATTAATTTTTATATATTGATTAAATAATTGCAGAGGTTAATCAAACTTTACATATGATATATAGAAGAAACAACACCTTTAGTTTCCATTAGCAAAGGTAATAAAAATGCACAAGAAAGACGCAAACACTTTTATACATATATTTACCTTTCTCATTTGAAGACCTAACTTTTTGCCATATCTCATAACCTCAGCATCATCTTCCAAACCTCTCCCAACTAATCAGATTTGGTGATTTACTTAGCTCTGATCATTGTTTTTCTTTGTCTCTGGAAAGAAATCTATCCAGAGATCTCTACAAACTAATCAAATATAATCTCATTTATGGTGCCACTCAAATAAATATCCATTACCTATTTGCTTCAATTTGGGCAATGAAGATGCCCTACTTCCAAGAGCTATAAGAAATGCCATAGTGATATGTCTGGAAATATTTATTTTTACCACATTTATCACATTATGGATAAACACAAGCTTTCCCTTTAATCCACAGTAAATCTAAACTAAACATAATGATTATATAACATACTTCTAGTCCATGGCTTCCTATACTTATCATCAGCAAAGAGTCCATTGAGATGATACTTTTCATCTTGATGTAAACAGGGAGGAAAGCAAAGTGATAATTTCCAGATGGAAAACTTCTGCCTTGCCATGCTCTGAATTAAAAAAAAAAAAGATATGTGATAAAATCCTGAGAGAGATGGTTCCATTCTTTTTGTGCACTACCTCTTCTAACATCCCACTGCTTTCAAGGGTTTTCTTCTCCTTAAGAGAAGAATTAACATTTACTTTATCTGCTGTTTAACTTTTAATCTACACCTTTGAGTAGCCAGAATTGCACATATGCTTAGCTACACTTTAACTAAGCTTTCAATGTGCAATTACAAGTGCTTATCTTAACACTTGGAATGGTCTCCTGAATTGTCACACTGATAAGCTGACCAGACAATTTGGTATAATTCCTACTACTACTGTTTCTAGTGGTTTTAAAATTCTAAGGCCGTTTGTCTTTCATGTGTCATTATGAGTTAATGAAAGGCCTTTAATTTTCTCTAAAATCAGGGATAGTATTGAATTGAATTCTGGAATTAAACAGTCTATGTGGCAATTTAGTAACTTTTTATTGAATACAAGTTCAATAAATTATCTTACAGTTCTTTTGTCACAGAAACCCATGCCCTGTATTGTACAAAGGGCACAGAACCACAATTCAGGAAGCAAAGAAAAATTATAATTACACATTTGTGTTTAACAAGTTTATATAAAGAAGAAGAAAGAAGTTGTACTTTAGAAGTCTGTGGAATGAAAGGCATATCGGAAAAGAGAACTAGCTATAGTTATGTGGAGGAACATAATGAATGAGACCAGAAGCTTTTCTCTGTTCTAAAGCCACCTCACTTCAGCTGTGCTCCTTCAGGTCCCAGAACTGCTCACTCATTGCAACATACGCTGTCAAGCCAAATAAAGGTTGTACTGTTAGAAATCTCAGGTGACAAACTAGAAATATTTTAAATATTTCACTGACATGGACTGCAACCAGAATAACCAAGCTATTGGTGTACTTTTCAAACCTTCCTGTAAGAAAAGAGAAAACTTAGGGGCAAAAAAAACCCCTCCAAAACCACAAACCAAACTAAACCAACACTGACAAACAAACAAACACATGGGAAGCTATGAAAACAAACATTGCCACTTCATCAATACAAATCCTTTTTCCATTTCTGTTTAATCCTTTGTGAAACAATTACAATTCTGTAAATGTTAGCTAATTTTAATAAAAAAGCAAAAACTCCTGCCATCATAGCACCTTTTCCTTAAAAGGCTCTTGTGAAAAAACAGATCTGGTCATTGGGAGTCCCACTTGCCTAAGTCAAAGCATGGCATCTCCTCACTGATCTCTTTCACAAATTCTGAATAAAGAAGACAGAATCAGATGACTGTGGGCAGCTGGACCTGTAACGTCTTCTACGTGTTGCTGGCTATATATTGGTTTAGGTAATCTGTATTGAATTTATTGATGAAACAACTGCATTTATCATAAAATAAAGGGCAGCTAGTAAATTTCCGAATAGAGATAAAAGGAATGGAAAATGCTATGGATAACCCTTCTCTTCATTAAAATAAGCTGTTAGAATTGCCACATAAAGGTTGTCAAAAGACTCATAGGTTAAAGAAGAATGTTACTGCTACTGTAGAAGTTACTGAACAAATAAATACATGCAATAATAAAACACAGATCAGACATAATTTTGAAACACTACCATGTACTTCTACTGAGACTAACTTTAGCTTAATAGCTAAAATTGTTTTCTGTCATTGGTATTTGTGAAGTGGAAGAAATACATCCTAGAGCTATCATCACAGGTAATAGCCCTAAACCAGGAAAATTCTGCATTTTACAAAGTATTTTAAATGAAACTGTTCTAAGGGTAACATTTAAGCTCAATTAGTTCACTTTATAAAGTCTGATAAGACACAACCTTTCTTGCCATTATGAAATATATAAAAGTGTTTTTCAATGCCATTATTAATAGCTGTAGCATTTAATCAGTACATGTTTACCCCTGTTTATCAAGAAAATATAAAGGTTTCTACACATTTCTCTTCTAATTGAAAGACATTATCCCAGTTCCACTCAGTTTGCATGTACTGTCAGTTTACAATACTAGAAAACCTTGCACTACCAAGATGACTTTGGAATCACACCTACAACACTCAGGAGCATGAAGTATGTAACTCTTGTGTCTAGGATGACTGAAAATACTTCTTCCTTCAAAGATACTTATAAAGGGAACCAGGAAAAACTATACCTGGAATTTATATAAGTGTGTAACAAGTATATTAGGAGCAGGATTCTGCATACAGTTGACTGAGATATGTGCAGGAAGCAGTTTGATATAAAGTCATTGAATTCCAGTGTTTGCTAAAAGCTGGAAGCTTCGGTCAAGTGCAACTGACAGGAAAAATCAATATAACTTTTTACAGATTGTAGCAACTAGGCACAAAAGTGGAACCAAAGCTGCAGTTTGAACACAGCATCTCCCTTGCACAGTAAGATCTGTATACCTCTAAATCTGTGATCACATCCATTGACCCCTTCTTGTAGCACTACAGAGCAAGATTTACACTGCTCCAGAGCAGCCATTCAGCAGGTCACTCAGCATTTCTTTTCTAAAAGTTTTCAGTTGTCCTGATGTCAGCATCATCCTCCTCAAAACTTAGGCAACAAAAGCCATGTAATTCTCTTTTGCATATAGCCCATGACCTGTTTTGCTAACACACCTCTTTTTTTATTCGTAGATAATATGGAAACAACTGGTGATCAAGCTGAATGGAACTATATTGAGAAAATATTCACACAAACACTGCACGACAGACTGCATACAGCTGGAATTACAATAGAAAAGGTTGTTCCAATCTAAGAAAACAGCAGGGACATACACAGGCACTACATGGAACAGGTGCTGTACTCTAAAGAAAGGGATGTGGGCAGCGTTTCATAACATGGATCGCAGTTCAACTGCAAGTACTACTGCTGGACCACTTCCCAGGCTGCAATTCTCCAGTTACATCCCAGAAGTGCTTCTGTCTGTCCTTGTACTCTTTGTCCTTGTCCCTGAACTCCTGAAGGCATCATGTCTTCCGACATTGTTCTGCTCACACACTACAAATGACTGCTTCTGGCAAAGCACTACTCTGCTCTTCCACAAGAAAAGTCTTGTATTTGGTCTGTGGCCTTTCTTTGAAAATATAAGTAAAAACCAGTTACGACAGGCTACTCTGGGGATAAGAAGTTGTAATATTTGGCATTGTTTGTGTGGGGGAAAAAAAATTCTCCTTTCCATTAATCTGTGACATTGCAAAAACTTTTCCCTACAATCATTAAGGAATACAGCATTGTATCACTATTCTAATACACAGAAAAGTATCTAGAAAGTTGGATTAGTGCTGCAGAAAGTAATAAAATTAATTTATTTGAAGACACAGTGTATTGTCCAAAGGAAGCTCTAAGCAGGAAACTTGTAGTGCATGATAAGTAAATCATAAATGCAACAGACACTAAAAATAACTGATACTTTATAGACTGTGCAAAATTGTACCTATATTTTTTATTTAAAAAGCCTATAATCACTTCACTGCGTAACCCCACAAAGTGCAGCCCACTAGCTTCTCTGGGAGAGTATTCTAAAGTAGTTCTTGTTATCTTTCTTTTAATGTGTACTCAATCTTTTCGTACAATCGTTTCTCAATTTCACTAAATTTGCTATATTTCATTCAGACTATTAAGAGAAACAATAAAACCATACCTCATATAAATAGTCTGTTGAGTGATACTTCAAAGCTGTAAACATCTTGTTTTGTGATGTTTTCAACATTTCAATTGTCTGGAAGACATACAGAATATGGATCAGTTAAAAACTTTTTATATAATCTCAAAATGTTAAAAGAGGAGGTTGAATGTCATGTTCAACATTAATAGCTTCATAATTTCTTGCACATGCACCATGGACTGAATTTCCTGTAGCAGAAGACTAAACAAAGCATTCAATATTCTTCCTCTGGAAGGATATAACAGACTAACTACAAACCATGAATATTTGATTTTTATCTGAAAGAACTGGGCTTTTGGGGTTTTTTTTTTTGTGGTTTTGTTTTGTTTTGTATTGTTTGTTTGTTTCTGGTTTTAGCTATGCTTATTAGTGTTTATTTCTCAGAAAACCTCTAGAACCATTATAAGTGAATGCAGGCAATACAAATTATCTCCCTTAAGTATCAACTCTTAAATTAACTAAATTAACTCCCTTAAGTAATAACTTCTAAGTTAACTGAATCAGTTTCATTAATTCTTAAATAAACTGAATTTAACTCTTAAATTTACTGATTTTTTAATGGATTATAAATTAGTTTTTAAAGGCACTAATTCAACTGTCTAGACTATTAACTCCTCACTGCCTCATGTATTTGTGAGGGGACTTTCTCCCTGCTTCCAGTTTCACAAGAAAAAAGGAGATGTTGTATTAGCTAGCTGAGAGCACAAGGCCCTGATGGAACACCAGGTTTCTAAGTCAGTTGATGTTTCTGAGGGGAACCAGGAGAGAGGCAAAAAATATACAAGACCAGAGACACAGTGTGAATGCAAACCAGGAAATATTGTAGCTGGGATCCACACAAGGTAAGACAATACTTTTTCTCAAAAATAGGTAGAAGCCTCAAAGATAAAGTAAGATAATTCTATCAAAAAGTGTATGATGTAATTGAATTTCAATCAAAATGAATTGTAGGACCATAAAGGAAGAAACCTGTGACAGAGGCAATCTTCATGTTTGCACCAGTAAGTATCATGACATAAGGCTAAAACTGCCTACCTAACAAATTTGGACATACCAATTACACAGGTATGGATGTAGTAGAATTGGAACCAATTCTATGGTGGAGGAAAAAGTAACTAGTTGAAAGGAGTCTGGGCAGAGAAAAGTAGTGCAGAAGTAAAAAGAGCAATTCAGGCAAAGAAACAAATCAGCCAATAAGGTATATAAAATCTCATTGAGAACAAAGTAGAAGGGAACCTTTTGAAGGAAGGAGTGTGGATAGTTTGAAACAGTGGACCAAAATCACAAGATGTTAGAGAAAACCCTTTGGACAGCCTGCAGGACTCTCCATCAGATTACATCCAACAGATTTGGTGTGGGAGAGTGGAGCAAGCAGGGATGGTTTGTAAAGAGGGATGGATCAGTGGACAGAACTGCACCTTAGCATAACTGATGTGTATTACTGACTAAAACTTCTTTATAACAATACAGACATGCAATAATTTAACTATTAGCTGTAGAATTGCAACTACTACTCCCAGTGATAAAATTTGAATCAATACACCTAGAAGAAGTTAACTGCTCAGTAGACACTCCACCACTAGTTCCTTAAGGGTGTGTCAACCAGTAAGCAACCAGAACACTGCATCCGGGTACTTTCCAACTTTCCAATTTAAAACTGAAAAAGTGGGATCTAGAAATACCAGTCTCTGAGCCTACACGGAAGTCTTCAAACTTTTTAAACGAAAACCGAGTATGACTCTGCTTCATTCTCCAAGGACTCGAGGCAACACTGTGTTCAGTAAACGAAATATGCTGGATGAGTTATTTCTGCCAGCATCAAATGTTTTTAAATCTACAGACAAGAACCCACCACGGTCACGCACCTCAGCCCCTCACGGCGTCACGACGGCCGCTCCCTCAGCTCCGCGGCGCCTTCGCCGCGCCCACTCGGGGCGGCGAACCCGGCCCTCTGATTGGCTGTCTCGCCGAGATGTCCCCTCTGAGGCGGCCAACCCGGCCCTCTGATTGGCTGTCTCGCCGAGATGTCACCGCTGAGGCGGCCAACCCGGCCCTCTGATTGGCTGTCTCGCCGAGCTGTCCCCTCTGACTGGCTGCCGCTGCTCCCCCCGCCCGCCCTTCCCTCAGGAGCGGACGTCCCTGAGGGCTGCCTGAACAAATGGCAGCGCTCGACAGTTAGCTGTTAAGAAAGCTTACATGATTTTCAAAGCAGTAAATGCATAAATAAAACACTTAAGTAACTTCTTCTGTCCCCCCCGGTAGCAGCTTGCATGGGGGAAGAAGTTAAAAGGACGGGACCAGGTTAGTTTTTAAAGGGGTCATATCTGAACGACTAACCTGCTGCCTGTTACCTGGGGGAGCGTGTTGAACAAATTGTGTTTCTCAGAAGGCAGTTTAGTGTCAGATTGCTGCAATGCCCGGACTCTGACTTGTCCCTGGAATGACAAAAATTTCAGGAGTAGCTGTGCAAAGGCCCCGTCTCCCCTCCCCTACCTCACACCATCGACCTTACACACAACATCCCAGCCCAGAACTAGGCCAGGCAATTCTGCTTGCTGAAATGGCACCTTACTGTTGGCACCACAAAGCCATTTTATTGTCTGTCCATGCCTTTTCCAACTTTTACCATGGATGTGGATACCCACAGAGAACACATCTAAAGTGCAAAAACCCTTGGCAATGCTGCAGCAGGTGCGTTCAGCTATTTGGTATAATAGTTTGGGGAGTATGGAAAAATGCGTCTCCTCCAAGAACTCATTGCAGGTTCAGTTCCAGGTGAGGGTTGGTTTCTCTCCGGAAAACAAAATTTACACTTTTCATGCTGGTTCCAAGAATTCCATCGGTATTTGTACATTCCAGTGAGCGAACAAGTTAAAAAAAAAAAGTATGACAGATACTTTCTTTACTGCTATGAATGAATTGGGGTTTAATTTTTTTTTTTAACTCTGAGGGTGGGTTTAACTCAGTCATAGGCATATTACCAGTGTTTCCTAGCTGTTCATATGAAAAATGCAAATGCCAGTAATTTTTAGTTTTCTTGGTATTTGTATATTTATAGTATATTTATATTCCACTCTCTAAGAATCAGGAGATTAATTGTTAGGCCATTGCACAATACAGAACCAACTAACTTCCAGCTGAAATACTTCAGAAGTGATCCTTTCCAGTTGGAATATAGAGAAATGCATGTTTTACCCATGCTAAAACAATCCCACCCCATCCCCAGGAGAACGAGAAGCTGTTGGCAAAGGTTCATGCCCCTGGCAGAGAGGAAAGGTGAGGGGGTATTTGCCTGGTGTAGAAGCTCACTGCTACAGTGCCAGTGCACAGCCTGCAGCCTTCCTGGTGTTCAGACTCCACCCTGCATGCTTCCCACCGGGCTCACTCCCCGTCCTGGGATAAGCACTGCAAGATGATGGCTGGTGAGGCAGGGGACAGGGACTCTTGCTGCCCTGTGCCAAGGCATGTTGGTGCATCCCCTTATTTCCCTTCAGTTTCAGGATTAGTATTCATGACTTCAGGAGGGGTGTGAAGCTCCAGCTAAGCTCATGAGCCTGGATATGGATCAGCCCTGCCCAAAAAGCTGATGCAGTCTAGGGATGTGCTCCACATGTGGCAGCCTGTAGGGACACAGGGATGCTCTCAGGAGGGGAGACACTGGAGAGACCACCTCCTCCTCACCCTGTATGAGCAATGCATCCACAACCTCTCCTCTACCTGCCCAACTCCACCTCTGGCTTGGGTTTATCTCCTCAGGAGCAGCCCCTACTGCAGACACAAGCTTGCTGAGCTCTGTTCTTGGGGGACAGACTCAGGAGATCATGAGTGTCTCAGAGACAATGTGTGTCCTACCACCAGAGCAGGGCAAGGAGACTCAGCTGGATGAGAAATGGACTCTCCAAGACCAGGCAAGAGCTGCACCTGCTGTTAAAGGCTCTAATTCCCCTTCAGTTACCTAGAAACCATCTCAGAGCATCTGACTAAGCATCTGCCAGTAAGTAATGCCATAACACTGCAAGTGAAAACAAAGAACAAGTAGTTTTTTAAAAACTTGTGAATTAACGTAATGATAAAAGCAATAAAACCTTATACTGACTTTCATTTCAGAAAAAAAGTAACTGGAAAACATTATTAATAGGTATAAAAATGGTGACAAAAGAAAAATAGAAAACTTGATGAAACAGGACACATAGCTAATTTCTAGCTAGAGTGCATGTAAAATTAAGAAAAGTTGCCATATTCTTTCATAGTTTGTAGAAAAATGTACATCCATGTGTTGCAAATCCAGTAGTGCTTGTGGAAGAGGTTTTGTGAAAGGCTCCACTAGGGGCTGTCATTGTCACACATCTAGGTGAACAGTTTTCTCTTGCAAGAGCAAAGTGTGGGCAGAAAAATCCCACACTGAGAAAGAAGGGCTTCAGATCTCCAGGTATCTCCTTTCAAGAGGTCTTTGTATTAGCCTAAAGTCTGTCAAAAGGGAAAAATCTCATAAGGGAAATTTGGCTTTAGCAATAGCCCCTGAAATAAAAGGACAATGATTTCATGGAATTCTAATGTAGTTTCATTTTTGCTTTATTTGCTTGCTTTTGAGAGAAAATAAAAACTTTATGCTAATCAAATGATTATGCTGACACAGAAATTTTGCGAATTTATTTTTGTTTAACAGTTCACAAATACTGCAAATTATCATTCTATCTTCCTAGAAAAACCATGTATGTAAGTATGTGGTCATTGACATATGATTTGTGCATTGTTTTTCCAAATCGTCTTTCTTGAGGAGGAAGTATTAAGTAATATTTTTATCTTTTTTTCTTTCTTCCTTTTTTTTTTTTTTTTTTTTTTTTTTTTTTTTTTTTTTTTTTTTTTTTTTTTTTGTATGAAGAATGCTTCTGTCACATGTATCTCACTAAGCCCTGAAAGAAATTCAAGTAAGTATGTAATACCATTGTAATGGTATTACTTCTGAAACACATTTAGAAACCTTACCTTATACTAACCAGAGTAGGAATCAGAGTGAATGACACTAGGAGGTGACTCCAACCCATTTGCATGGTGGAGAAAACTCATTTAAAAGTAACCTTATGAAGATGTTTTTCATATGGTTCTTATATGAATCTTATGAAGATGTGCTAACCACAGACAACCCTGGAGACACATAAAAACTTAAGCGACATGAGTGAGATAATTTTTATTCTGTGATACGTTTAAGATTAGAGCTTTGTTATTGTTAATTTTAAAAATCGGTCTAAGATATTTTGCAGTGGGATAATGTATTATAATACTTTGCCAAAGGTATGCTAGCTGTAGAAATGTGGCGAAAGCATAAAGCATTACCTCGGAGAATACATACCTTTTGACTGAGACTTCGCATTTGAGCATCATTTCATTGAAAAGTACAAGGCAAAATAGCTATATTTGTTTCAGTGTTTCTCGGTGAAGTCACTTACCTGAGACAAGTGCAGCAATATTTGATGAATGCAAAAATTCCTGGGGTAGTTAGTTATGGTGACTCAAGTCTAAATTTGAACAGCAATAGCAGATCTGTTCTGCACAGGTAGGAAGCTTATGAAATTCTGGACCTTTCAGTGGCTATGTGTGTTTTTAATCACCAGGGAGACACAGACATTGTTTAACCCAGTGCATGGAGGAGTGCTGTGAATTTCATTGCTCAGACTGGGGAAGGACGTTACTCTTCCCCTTAGCTACCAAGCCTGTCTCTGAACTCAAATACATACAAAGTATGAAGTTGGGTGGATTACTCCCAGCAGTCCTGGGTTGCATTTCTGGCCTAGAAACACCATCAAATACATACAAAGTATGAAGTTGGGTGGATTACTCCCAGCAGTCCTGGGTTGCATTTCTGGCCTAGAAACACCATTCTGCAGTGAGCATCTGCCATTAAAAAGCTCAACATCCATGCCTTCCTTACTGTTCTGTTATGCTGCCATTTCTGTCTCTGCTGTCTTCAAAGCAGCCTCTGAAACTTTTTCCAGGTTATAGCAAAATATATTCTGCCTAATGGAAATATATAATGCAAATATATAATGCTTGAGGGCAGCACCTCACATAGAGACACAAATCTGAAATACTGTCCTTCATTAAATACTGCAGCTCTCAGACTAGCATTAAGATGCCCTTAATGCTTAATTACACAATCCTTCACTGCATCTTCATCATTGCTGAGAAACTCTATATGTTTAACATTTCCTCTACAAGCTCAGTAGTAGCTTGCTCCCCTGTGATGTGTGAGTAGAGGATTCATGTCACGGGACTGTGTGATACCTGCACCAGAGTCACAGAATGGTTTGGGTTGGAAAAGGTACTTCTGCCAGCTTCAAATGTTTTTAAATCTACAGACAGGGACCAACCTTAAAAGATCATCTAGTCCAGCCTCCCTGCCATGGGTATATCTGTCTTCTACTGTCTTCTTCTGCTCAAAGCCCTGTCCCACCTGGCCTTAAACACTTCAGGGATGGGACATCCACACCTGGAAAATAGCTTGTCTTTAACCCAAGCTGCCAGTAGAGGAAATGTGAAGGGTTGAAAAGAGAAAGGAGGCAACATGCTGACAGCAGAGTGACTGAAGAGGTTGAGGGTATGCCCCCACTACTGTGCGTTTTAGGAAGGTCTCACTACAGCACACAGCCAAGGTGAGAGGAGGAAAGCAAGGGATTGTATTTTGAGGCTTTACAACATTTGTGAATTATAGTAAGATTACAGTGCTGTGAAATACAGAGGTCCAGACTCAGGCAAGGCACATCTGCAATGTCATTAGTGATATACAAGTCAAACAGGAGTTATCTGAAACCAGATATTGTGTGTAGGTGGAGGAAACCAAACAGAAAACTGCAGAAGGAACAAAGATGAACACAGAATATGCGTGTGTTATTGTGTGATTCTCTTTATTGAAGACAGTTTTCCATGTCTCAGTATGGTTATTACACCAAGCCTCTCAG